TTTCCGAGAGACATATAATGATCCAGGCATGCCTTATAGAAAGTGAAAGAAAAGAACTAAAGAAATGCTGGGATTATTTGTCGGTGTCCATTTTAGGGAGCTGTCTGTCTTATAGAGGGGAGTTTGTCCGGAGTAAGTTGAGTGTACATCAAGTTGGTGTGAAAAAGACATTGTTAGAGTTCTCACTTTTTTGCTGAAGATAATTCATGATGACCAAAGTGATTTATCGTTGTCAGAGGAAGAAGGTGATGATGAGGAGGAAAATCAAGGGAGCAGTAAAGAAGATAAACCGTGATCTGCTTTGTGTACTTTTTTTACGGCGAACTAACTTGTTTTCTGATATATCCAACAATAAATGTGTTTTCCCATTGTTCACTTCATGTAAAGCAATAGTCTATTTTAAAATTCCACGAGGAGGTTAAACTTTCAGATTGATTTGCTGTATGGATATTAGGCCTTTGAATTTGATTTTGAATACAAGATCGAGTCACGTGCAACTAAACGTTGGCTATTGTACCATTAACGATGGTTAATCAGAGTCTCTTGGTTTCCCAACACGCACTACTGTAAAATTAAAAAAATTAGTAAAATTAAAAAAAATTTTACTAATTTTACTAATTAGTATAATTAAAAAAATTAGTAAAATTAGAGTACTGGCTGCCTGGAAAAACCATAGAGGCTAGTGGAGCCAGGCAGCCACTTGATAATGGTAATAATACTAAGCTGGAGTCCAATTCGGTCTGTAATCATACGAGTGATAAACAAAATCAGACTACCGCGTAGCAGGAGTCTGGTTTGCTTAATCACGAGTAGAGTAAAGACGCGGCGGTCGCATAGCGCGGGAAAATGCCACGACTTGTTTCCCTGTGGGGCCAGTCACACAGCGAAGTGACGTAGAATTAACCAAACTGACCAATCACCGTTCGTGCAAGTCACTTAACCAAACAGAAATCGAGGCGATTACGATTATCCAGAGAGAGGTTATCGTAAGTCAAATGTAACAAAGGGGATTGCTCTGGCCAATCACATGAGAGGCAATTAATTAAATGAACCAATCAAAATACAGAGTAAAGACTTGGAGGTGGCAAGCGCGGGAAAATGGTACGACTTGTTTCACTTTGAGTTGCTTGGCATGTGGCCGGTCACAGCATTGAGGCGGGAAATTTGCCATAGGTGCGAAAACACTTAATTACTAAACTGGTGAACAAATTTTGACTATCTTGAGTGCGTTTTGCTCGTATATGATCTCAAATGTATTTTGTGTTTGTAAAGGTGACAAAAAGAAAAAGAAGAAGTCTGGGAGTGGCTCCAGTACCTCTTCAAATAGCCGTTCATCGACCCCTACGATTTCTACAGACGGCGCTGCTAATACCATTGCTGCCGCTGCTACAAAGCTGAGTCAGGACAGACCAGGGACTCCCTGTAAGTATATCCCCACTATTTTCCGGGTACGTAGATGAAATTGTATGGAGTGACCGCATAAATGAAACCTATTTAGCAAAACCTTCGTCAGGTACTAGTTCTTTCACAGTATTTTAAAAACTAGCATTTTGGATGTTGTTCCATTCGTTCCAGATCAGTTTCATGTTCCCCGTGTTGAAACAATTTTTTTAAAATTGTCTGGGTTTTTGTAGCAAAATCAAAGAAGCGCCCAGCAAGTGCAAGTAAAAAAGGTACCCCTGGCGAAGAGGGAAGTCCAGCAAGCAAAAAACCTCGTGTATCCCCGGCACCTTCCGCTGGAGGGGCAGGAGGAGGCTCAAGAACAAGCACCCCAACACCGACCGGTAGTGAGGAAGGCCTTCAGGGAATCACTGAAGAAGCCGTGAGAAGGTACCTCACAAGAAAGCCCATGACCAGCAAGGACCTTTTGCAAAAGTTCAAGAGCAAACGAACGGACCTGTCAAATGATGAGACCGTGAAAAAGCTTGCTGCTATTGTTAGAAAGATACAACCCGAACAGAAGACCATCAAAGGGAAACTTTATCTGTCGCTTAAACCACAGAGCTGAGATCTGCGCGCGAGACGGTCTCTTGTTTCCTGCCATCCTGGCTTAATCTTCACGTGCGCGCCTGATTAAGTCGCTTTAATAATAGATCTTTTTACCTTGGGTTGTGTGTTAACCCATTCTTAGTTTAGTCCAAAAACATCAGCGTTAATTGCACGTTATGCGTCATTACTACCAATAGAACGTTTTCACTCACGTAGCCAGCGTCTATGGAAAATTCATTGGAACAAAAGAAAGTGTTTACATAAGAAAAGAACGGACTCGTACCCAGTGGCTATTTATGTGTTTTGGGGGTGAGAGAAGATTGGGGGTTGGGTTGAGGCGCGCGCGGGGTCTCATAGGAAGGGACGAAGTGAAAATAGACCCCGCGCGCGCCTCAACCTAATCCCCAATCCTCTCTCACCCCAGAAAACACTTAAATAGCGACTGCGTACGAGTCTGAGAAGAGAGCTCAACTCCCACAAAAATTGATCGGAAAACCAACTTAGCCGCCCTTTTATTGTTTAGGAACAGTAATATGGTTTCCGTGACGTCATTTGAAACGTTCTATGACGCATGCGATTTCAAGCCTAAAATGCTCGTCGCATGCGCAGTGCGTTTATATTGAGCCAGTACAGTCAAACCCCGTTAATACGAACACTGAAGAAGCCATATTAGGTGTCCGTATTAAGTGGGTTGAATTTAGAGAAAATGTAGGGGCTTTCTTTCCCCAGGGACAAAGCAAACTGTCTGTAATAACGAGGTGTCCGTATTAAGCGGGTGTCCATAAAGCAGGGTTTGACTGCGCAAGTTCCTGATCTTATCCCGGTACAGATCACGACTGAAGAGGATCTGCTACCAATAAACCTTTTAGACTGTTCACAGTTCCCTATTCTCCCGTAACATTGTCGATGCCGAGCACCTACCGTTATGGGCGGCCATCTTGGTTTTACACCGAGGGGGTAGGCGTTGGGTTTAACTGTCTCCCACTCCCTAAGTGTATTTGATACTCATCCCCAGGCTAGACTCGGTAAATAGGCGACTGTGAACAGTTCATAAACCTTTCCGCATTCCACACATTCCAATGAAACGAGCTTGGGATTAAATTTCATACAAATCAGTGTATTGCGTCAATGCACCTTTTAGACTGCAAAACAGTCGTACTTTTCTCAAAATCGGTTTTGCAAGGTGCGAAGCGCTGGCATGATCAATATTTTCGTGCTAAGCACGTGGGCCTCACACGCCCATGGGGCGTGTCTCTCTCTCCAGTCCCACTCTCCGTTTGCACCCTCACTCCAGACCTTTCCTGCTCGCGCGCGTTCGCGTGCATCCACGTGCAAATGTATGCATAATTTATGCGACGCAAAGGAAAATCTCGGCATCGCCTATTCTGAAAACACAACATTCAAGCTAAAAAGGGCTATTCAAGACTCAAGTTTGTGACTTCCTTCACAGGAACGGGGGAGAGATCTATCTTTAAGTCGTGCCACAGGCTCACCATCCGAAATGTTCGAGGCATCGTGCGGGTATCTTGTCTACACACCTCATGCTTAGTAGATTTCTGTTAGTCTTAAAGATTTCATCAGTACTCGATATAATTAGATAAAGTGCCTCGTTCCTAAGTGTCTCATGTCAAGTGTGTTTGGAGAACAGAAAACGCGACTGCAAGCGATAGTATCGCGCAATGGACCATGGGAACGTTTAGCGTTCTTGCAGAGGATGTTGAGAAGGGTAAGCGAGAAAATGATATAAATCAGTGTTTGGGTAGCCTGCCTACTTGTAAAACACTAAATAACAGCAAGACAAGCTGTTGTGAATCAAAACCACGATAATTTGTCCATAAAATAAATCCTTTCTTGACCAAGCTTCTTCGGTCAACATAGCTGGATATTGGCGTCGTTCTTTTCTCATTGGCCTCGACTTCGTCTCTGTAACAGAATGCTAGACTTGCTACAAGTCGACCTCCGAAGACGAGCTTCAATGCATGAGGTCGCGTAGAGAGCGACGAAGGAAAGAATAAACGATTCCTATAAAGTCTAACAAAATGCAAGAAAGGAATTTGGCCATATACTGACCTCACGCTTGGTCAGTAATGCATATTTGAAAGGAATAATGATGAAAATAAAAATAGTCGTCACGCCTTAAAATATTCCGCTTGCGGAAGCTCAGTGATAAGACTTGGTACTTTCGAAGTTTGCTGCCTGAGTCAGGAGTTACAAACGGTAAGAAAAATAATGCAATCAGCGGCCGTATCTCTACACGCGGTCAAAAAACCTTTACTTTGCATAAAAAACGGCATGTTCAGTTACATGTTAGGATTGAATGATGCGGAAAGCGTCCTTGTCGGTTATTCAAACTATGAGACTGCTAAAAAATTAACGAACGTCGAACGGAGACTTTCGCAGCAAATGGTTAGGCATGATAGCCCTTTTGTGATCATTTTTTACCGTTTGGGTCCATTATTGGAGGTGCCGAAGTAATTAAGCTTTAGTTTTGGAACGTTCTGGAAGCAAAATGAAGTGAAACCAAACTATTAATTCGACCTGCGGCAATAACGTAGAGCCAGTACAAAAGAACTATTGCGTAATTAGAAGTAATTTTTGACGTTAATTCTCTTTAGATCTTTGCTAAACTTTTCAAAAGAAACCAAAAGTCATAAGCTTTATGTTCTGATTATTCCTTTGCCATCGAAACTCTATAATCTTCATCGAGAGTCCCTACAGATGAAGCATGACGGACTGTTTTGCATAGTTATGTCCTACAAGTATTCGGCCTTAGTTTAGTGAAAATATTTCTAGCGTAAAGTAAATCCTATTGAATTGGAAAGGGAAATTGAATATAAAGTATCCTGCAGAACAGGCGTCATTTTTTCACGTTTTTTAGGCGTCTGAAGATATGCTTAGTAGATTTCTGTTAGTGTTGAAGATGTCAGTGCTCGATATAATTAGATAAACTGCCTCGTTCCTAGGCGTCTTAAGTGGTAGCGGAAACGCGAGAGCGTGCGATAGTATCGCGCGGTGGACCAGGAATGAATGAATGAGTAAAAGAATATAGAGTTGTACATGAGAGGACAACAGACGTGCCCTCTTACAATATATTTTAATATGTGAACAGTAAGTTCAGACGCCAGCATACAAAGGCGCCACTGGCAGCCGCTCTCAGTCCAATTTTGAACTTACTGTACCCACCCAATCCATGATGTGATGTGTGAAGGTTGACCACAACACCGAGGTCTACGTCTCATACTCTTTTCAAACAGTCGTGTGGGTTGTTTTACATCCCACAAGAACCAGATATGTTAAGTGCTGTGACACGGGACCTCCGTTTCTTCGTCCTTATCCGAGAAGACTAGAAAGTCTAACCGTTTGTAGATGCCATTACAAAGGCAGCACTTTCTTCTCAGTTATTTAAAGACCCTCTGAGTGTTGGTCCGGCCAGGGTTCGAACCCGTGACCTCCCGCTCAGCAGACCGGCGCTCTCCAAACGGAGCCAACCAGGCGGCGGCTAATTTAAGAATTGTTTTAAAAAGCAATACCGGTTTCGGAAATCTAAAATGATTTCCTTCGTTAGTTGCTCGTGGGGTTGCGAGCAAAAGACTATGGGAACGTTTTAAGTTGACGCAAAGGACGCTGGAAAGGGTAAGCGAGAAAATGAGATAAATCAGTGTCTTGGTGGCCTGCCTACTCGTGAAAATACTAAATAACAGCAAGACAAACCGTTGTGAATAATTTGGCAATAAAAAAAATACTTTATTGACCAAGCTTGTTCGGTCAATATAGCTGGATTCGTCACTTGCACATCTCCCATAATGCACCTTATTTGCCCCTCCAAATTATGCATAACCAGTATTTTCAATTTGGGGGAGCAAATAAGGTGTATTATGGGAGTTGGCAAGTGATATATATTGGCGTCGATCTTTTTTTCATTGGCCCCGACTTCGTATCGGTAAACAAAATGCTAGACTTGCTACAATTTGACCTTTCATAAGTTCTTGAGCGAAGCGAGTTTCAATGCATAAGGTCGCGCAGCGACCGAGCGAACGAAGAAGTCTCGTGGCATAACTAACCAGGAAAAAAATAAAGGACTTTAAGAAAGTCTAACAAAATGCAAAAAAAGGAATTTGGCCATATATCCAGTCATATTGACCACCTCACGCTTGGTCAGTAATGCATATTTGAAAGGTATAAAGATGAAAATAAAAATAGTCGTCACGCCTTAAAACATTCCGCTTTCGTTTTGACAGCCTGTTTCCCTTCGTCATTTCAGCGGAAGCTCAATAATACCTTATAAAGACTTGGTATCTTCGATATATGCTGCCTGAGTCAGGAGTTCGAAACGGTAAGAAAATGCAATATGCAGCCGATCAAAAAACCGTTAATTTGTATAAGTTGGTACATGCACTAGGATTAAATGATGTGGAAAGCTTCCGTGCCGATTATTCAAACTATGAGAGTGTTCAAAAGAACATCGAACGGAGACTTTCGCAGCAAATAGTTAGGAATAATAGCCTTTTTGTGACTATTTCTGACTGTTTCGGTCCATCATTCGAGGCGGCGAAGTAAGCTCTGGTTTTGGAACGGTCTGGAAGCAAAATACAATGTAAACAAAGTTTGACCTGCGGCAACAATTACCAACGTAGAGCAACCGGTATAAAAGAACTATTGCACACTTAGATTAAGTGATTAGGTGGACTCGAAGCTACATATTGAAGTTAAATCTCTTTAGATCTATGTAAAACTTCTAAACAAGAAACGAAAAGACATAAACTTTTTGCTCTGAATGTTCGTTTACGAGAACGAAACTCTTTTATCATGACAGACTGTTTTGCATAGTTATGTCCTACAAGTTTTCGCCCTTAATTTTGTTAAAATATTTCTAGCGTAAAGTAAATCCTATTTAATTGGAAAGAGAAATGAAAAGTAGCCCTTTCACTCGTTTTTGAGGCGAGCAAAGATATACGCTAGGCGGGAACGGCGCGCGAGAAAGCGCTTTAATTTCGCCCATCGCAGGCGTCTCGCGCTCCACGTCCACTTTGTGACAAATTGCGACTGTTCTGCGGGCTACAAATAAAGGACTGGCGGTAAAATAAGGTGGAACAGGAGCCCATTAGATGATGGGCTCCTGGGTAAAAAGGTGATCTAATTAAAAGGACATAAAGGTACTACTAGTTACCGGGACTTTCGGGAAACGGCCCCCCTCTCAAATGCATACATACCCATTGTCAGAACTTGCTCTAGACGCTATACTCGGTTTGGGAACCCATTATCTCGTCCAAGTGAAGTGAAACTATTTTAAGCCTTTTTTTATCATCGTTTAATAGTATCTGACACTGAATAATTGTTTAGGCAAAAATACGTGTATAAACCCTTCTATACCCGCTTTGAGACTATGATGGACAAAATCTATACCCGTTTTCATGAGACCAAAACGGCTCAAAAGACATGCCGTTTGTGGTACACACCTATATAGCTTATAAAGGGTATTATCCCCGGGTATGTTGTCACTAATTGCAAAGAAAATTTTTTTCTTTAAAGATTAAAGCATCATCAGAAGTTCATCAAGTATGGCTTCTTCAAAAGAATATACCGATGAACAGCAAAACTATTACAGAATTTGTTATCTAACTACTGATATACTAGCGGAGGGTCTGAGAGAAATATTTAAACAAGAATGGGACAAACTGTACAAATCAACAAAAGGAGAATGGAAAGACGAGCCTCGTAATGGAATGGACTTTTACAACGGAGAGTCTCCTCGAAATCAAAAGAGAAACGCTCGTCTTTTGGACACTATGAAAAACGGAAACAGAGGGGAATGGGACTGCACAATGCTGTTTTACGCCATCCTTTTCTCTGATTGCGTCGGGCCAGGTCTTAACGCAATAGTCAGAAAAAATGTCGATGATCTACGAAATTTCAGGAATGAAGAATTCGCTCACATGCCACAAGGTAGTCTCTCTGAGATCGATTTTCAGAATGCTATTAGCAAAGTTGACGTTGCGTTTCAAGCGCTTAGTCTTCCCACTGCAAAAATTCAAGACCTAAAATGTCAGAAAACATTTCCAACAAAAGATTTAACAAAGGTCCTCAAAGAAGTTGATAATCTGAAACAAGAAGTTCAAGAAAAAGAGACTCAGCGTCAGGTCCTTGAAGATCAGCTCCAAAATGAAGCACCCTCATTCTGTGTTCTCCCTCCTAAACCCTCGCATGAAATCGGTGGTCGTGAAAGGGAAGTAGCCAAAATAGTCCAACAGCTGAGGGAACTTAATGACTCCAGTGACAACAGGTTGAGTTATCTATACATTTCAGGGAATCCTGGAAGCGGCAAATTACAGCTAGCTGGCCTCGTAGCTGAGAGATTCTTTGACGACCTTAAAGAAATGCCTGGTGGGTCTTCATTTGTAATGACCTTAAATGCTGCAAGTCCAGATTCACTTCTTGAGTCGTATGCCTCATTTGCTCGCCACTTAAAGTGCCCAGACTATTCAGTTGTGGAAACCCTAAGCTCAAAAGATTCGACCGTGGACGAAAAGATCACTAGTCTTAAGATGCTTGTACCTGTAAAAATTAAGTGTTACACGTCGTGGCTACTGGTGTTTGACAATGTCACTACTCTGTCGTCAGTGCATGTCCATTTACCACAGTTTAAAAACAAGCCTTGGGCAAGGGGCCAGTTGCTGATTACGACCCAGGACACAACATCAATTCCCTCAGAAAGCTCTTTTGTTAATCACATCTCGGCAAGCAAAGGTATGGAGCCCAATGACGCCCGTTCATTATTGTCCAAGCTTTCTAGTATCCCAGATAGCGAGCTGGTAGGAACAGTAGCACAAAGACTGGACTATCAACCTCTTGCTTTAGCAGGCGCTGCCGTCTTTGTTAAAGAGATTCGGAAGGACGAAGTATCGATGCATTTTGGGTGGGAGGAATACCTGAAGATCTTAGAAAAAGGCAAAAGACAGAAAACGGAGGATACACTTGTCAACACCAATCCAATTTATCCAAATTCAATGACGAAAGTAATAACGTTAGCCGTCGAAACACTGATGAGATCCGACAAATTTCAAAAACACCTTTTCACTTTTCTTGCCCTCTGCGCTCCACGACCATTGAACGTCGACATAGCAGTTAGTTACATCATGAACGCACATGAAGAGTTTGATGAAGCGGACAAGGAACTAATTCGCCTGAGATTAAAGAGAAGCTCACTTCTGCTGTTCCAAAATGAAGAGGGTGGCTGTTTTATTCGAGTTCACCAGGTTGTGCATGATGCTATAAAAACTGTAGCAAAAGAGTATGCAGAAAGCCAAACCAATGAGGTCGTTAGTGGGGTCATTACATCATTTAACGAATTTATCGTGGCAAGTCCACCAGAGAATAAGCGACTAAACACCAGACACATCGCTCCACATTTGAAAGCTTTAACTATAGTAACTGACAAAGTGTTTTTGCGAGATAATTTCTTTCAAGTTCATGATAAGGAAATTTCTGAAAAATGCGAAAACCTTGGAAATATTTGTCAAATGCACTGTGAATTCGAAGGAGCAAAAACATATTTTGAATATTCACTCACTTTTAAGCTCCAAGAGCTCGGCCCAGAGCATGTTGATGTTGCAACAAAATACAGTAAGCTAGCTTTGATTTACCGGTATTTAGGTGACTTTGAGCAAGCCAAGGAGTATCAGCAACGTGCTCTGGACATTAAACTAGACAAGCTCGGCCCGCAACATGTTAATGTTGCAACAAGCTACAATAACCTAGCTTCGATTTACCAGGATTTAGGTGACTTTAAGCAAGCTACGGAGTATCAGCAACAAGCTCTGGACATTGAACTGGACAAGCTCGGCCCGGAACATGTTAATGTGGCAAGAAGCTATAGTAACTTAGCTTCGATTTACCAGGATTTAGGTGACTTTGAGCAAGCCAAGGAGTATCAGCAACGTGCTCTAGACATCCAACTGGACAAGCTCGGCCCGGAACATGTTAATGTTGCAAGAAGTTACCATAACTTAGCTTCGATTTACAAGGATTTAGGTGACTTTGAGCAAGCCAAGGAGTATCAGCAACGTGCTCTAGACATCCAACTGGAAAATCTCGGCCCGGAACATGTTAATGTTGCAACAAGCTATAATAACTTAGCTTCGATTTACTGGCATTTAGGTGACTTTGAGCAAGCCAAGAAGTATCAGCAACGTGCTCTGGACATTGAACTGGACAAGCTCGGCCCGGAACATGTTAATGTTGCAAGAAGCTATGGTAACTTAGCTTCGATTTACCAGGTTTTAGGTGACTTTGAACAAGCTAAGGAGTATCAGCAACGTGCTCTAGACATTGAACTGGACAAGCTTGGCCCGGAGCATGTTAATGTTGCAAGAAGTTACCATAACTTAGCTTCGATTTACAAGGATTTAGGTGACTTTGAGCAAGCCAAGGAGTATCAGCAACGTGCTCTAGACATCCAACTGGACAAGCTCGGCCCAGAACATGTTAATGTTGCAACAAGTTACCATAACTTAGCTTCGATTTACAAGGATTTAGGTGACTTTGAGCAAGCCAAGGGGTATCATCAACGTGCTCTAGACATCCAACTGAACAAGCTCGGCCCGGAACATGTTAATGTTGCAACAAGTTACCATAACTTAGCTTGGATTTACAAGGATTTAGGTGACTTCGAGCAAGCCAAGGAGTATCAGCAACGTGCTCTGGACATTGAACTGGACAAGCTCGGCCCGGAACATGTTAATGTTGCAACAATCTACAGTAACTTAGCTTTGATTTACCAGGATTTAGGTGACTTCGAGCAAGCCAAGGAGTATCAGCAACGTGCTCTGGACATTGAACTGGACAAGCTCGGCCCGGAACATTTTAATGTTGCAACAAGCTATAATAACTTAGCTTTTATTTACTGGCATTTAGGTGACTTTGAGCAAGTCAAGGAGTATCAGCAACTTGCTCTGGCCATTAGTGCAGACAGGCACCGGCTCAAAAAAACACCAAATAAGGTACATGAAGGACTGCTTAGAGACGTAAAAAAATATATTCTGGATATTATATTTCTTCTAGAAAGATTTTAGGCAGTCTTTATGGTTTATCGCTTTAGTGTTGTGTTAAAGGCTGAATTTTTCAGTTTTTTTTTTTTCACAGCAGCATAAGTTGCGTCTTAAACTGCGAGGATCATCTTTGCATTTTTTCTTTCGCAGTTCCAATATATGTAATTCATATAATCTTTATAAATGATTTTAATTTGATAAACTCCATAACGTTTTACATGTATTAATCTTGGAATCGACATTTGGGACGTTTGTAAGACATCTCTTAAATTCAGGTTTGACTGTAACAGTTTCTGTTTACTCTCTATTTCTGCTTTCAGTATCTTTAAGTTTCTTCTAATGAAAAAAACCTGTTAGTCCTTGCAGATTACTCATGAAGCTGAAAGGCATTTATCACAATCCAAGAAAAAAGATGATGGCGATGAGGATGATGATAAAGGCAATAGTAAGGACGGTAAAGCAAAAATCATTGTTAAGTTAAAAATGTCTCCTCCTGATAACTTTTAACGATTTTAATCAAGGGCGCTTTCCTCTTAGAAAAAATCCGATAAGTTTTGATCGTTGCACAATCTTACAGTCTTTGGACTAGATGCGACAAAGGGAACGTGAGTAAAAACCCGGAGATGGATTCTTCAGCGTTCCAAAAATATTTGTGTGAAACGCCTGCAATAACGTAGAATTCTCGACAGGTGTAATTGTTTTGGACCCATGCCCAAGCAAACTCATTAATTGTGAATCTACAAATGCGGATTTAGATTTAATCTATCACCAGATCTATTGGGAGTGTGTTTTCAGTTTTAGTAAAGAAAGGCAAAATCCGCGTTTGGATGATTGTCTCAAAGAAAAGTGGCGTAGGTCAAAAGTCAGCTACATCCAAAAGGAAATTTTCAGGCAAACACAATTTTCGATTTGGGGCTGCTTATTCAGACAAACTACAGGTGGATTTTAACACCGCCATTTATTAAAGCCATTTTCAATTTTGCTAACCTCAAGATCCAAACATTGTTTGCCTCTTATGGTATCAAGGAGGCTTTCAGCCCAGGCAAACCCAGTAGAAAACCATTTATCTACTTTAAATAAACGAGTTCAAAGCGAATTAAGGGTTCCGATGATGCCAGATACAATACATTAGGTGCGGTTACACTAGACAGTGAAACCACACAGTGCTAAATTGCCCAAAAGGAAGAAAAAACGTGAACCCAGTTTTGAGGTAAACGTTGTTGTAAACATTGAAGGCTTACATAATCGTATTAATAACACCCACTCCACATTAATTAAACTTAGAAAGTAGAGATTCAGTCTTACATTTTGAGACTAAAAAGGACGACGTTGACTTCATTTTTATAAAGAAAGACAAATTCTTGCTCAGAAGTCAAAAGTACGGGTTTACAAAAGTGTTTGCAACGACTTAATAAGGAAATAATTCTTAAACACATGTAAAGAAAACTTACGAATTTTTTGAGGAGCTTTTAAATTGATGCAAAAGTGTAAAATACAGAAAAACATTCACAGCAGCGCTCAAAATCCTGCTGAGGTTTCGCAGTCCCGTTTGGCGCTGGATTTGGCGCACGACGGACTCAGCACGTAAACAACACGTGATTTCTACTTTTTGGTACGTTTCAATCTCTCGTGATTGGTTGAGCCGCCTTAGGCCGTTCTTATTAACCAATAGAATTTACTTCGGGAACTGTCATGGATAATTCTTTTGATCCGATTGATGTATCCATGGAAACTTCCCCGAAGCAAGCAAAAAGCCGCTTCCACGTGGGCAACAGCTAGTTGCCGGTGAGTGAAATGGGTACTTTTGCCGCCCCTATTTTAGGTCGTTTAAAAAGGATACGTTATGGTCAACGTTTGACTTTCCTCGAATCTTGTGCATTACAAGCTTGATTACTCTTCTCTTTTACAGACAAAAGAGCTAAGAGAGACAAACACAATGCTGGACAAATGGCTAAGAAAGGTTTAGATGCTGGTAGTGATGTGTCATCTGAGGGAGATGGTTACCTGGATTCACAGGAAGAGGATTACAGATCAGACACCTTTGCATCTTTGGATGGTGAGATATTTTAATCCTTTGATCCCCAAAATCTGTCTTTGTCTGCTGCTGTTGCTATGATCTAGCCTGTTTTTAGCCACCCCCTCGCCCTCAAACATTATGGAGCTTAAGCAAAGACATTTTTGAGCAACGCACGTCAACCGGAAGTGGGGTCTTTTCTCTTTTAATATGCCTTGATGCTTCTAACAAATTTGTATTGCTAAGTTTCTTTACTCTGATAGAGACGATCTGCCCGAAAATTTGGGCACAACCACTGCCCAAGAACGGCAAAAAGTTCACTTCCGGTTGATAAGCCTGGCTCAAAAACGCCTCTGCTTAAGCTCCCTAATTTGTTTAAAGGGAGTGGTTAGCTATACACAGGCTACTGTGCCCCAGTTGCATCACCCTTCCTGTCATTTTTTCTTCCTCTACTGTGCTTCTTCAGTTCCCCCTTTGCCTCGATCTCCGCTACTTTCTTTCCGCTTTCTTTCATCAAGGGATGGCGCAGTGGCGAGAGCGCTCGCCTCCCACCAATGTGACCAGGGTTGAAATCCTGGCGTTGACGCCATATGTGGGTTGAGTTTGTTGTTGGTTCTCTCCTTTGCTCCGAGAGGTTTTTCTCCGGGTACCTCCGTTTTCCCCTCTCCTCAAAAATCAACATTTCCAAATTCCCATTCGACCAGGAATCAGGTAGACAAAGAACCACTTTGTGGATGTGCTACCTCCAAATTATTATTTATTTATTTATCTCTGCATCACCATTATGTGTAACAGCTGTAGTTACATTAGCCAATCAAGAAGCGGGAAATATTAAAGTTAAGTAACGTCTGTTATAAAGGGTGCTACTGTATAATGGCCTCCTAATCATCTGCTGCAACTGCTCCAAAGATATGGAACGTTTTAATGGACTATATTAGGAAAGAGAAGAATTTCGATAAGTTTATGAAACTTCTTAGTAAGACCTTCTATTTGAGAGAAGCGTACAGCAAGGTTCTTTTATTTTCTACTCTTATATCCTTTTTTCTCTCTTGCTCGTTTTTGGTAATGTTAAATTATTGATGTAGCAATTGAAAGTGTAAATAATTTCAGTTAATACAGTAGGTAGTATGACTTTGTTCTATGTAGGTTTCATTTTTGTGTATGCGCATTTGATCATATACCTATGTTAAAATGCGCTATAGAGGTGTCAAATATTATTTATTATTATTATTGTTATTACTATTACTTGTGTAATATGGTCTCGAATTGTTCACTTCTATGCTCTCTATAGGAGTATGCCACTGCCGCTTTCTCTGCAAGGTTACAACTCACCACAGTACTTCTTTGATGCTCTTATCATTATCATCATCATCAACAACAACATCATCATCGTCATTATTTTTGTTATTATTATCTTCATCATAAAGACCTGTATTGCATTGTCTTGCTCATTATTTCTTTTACATGAAAGAATGTCCTTAAAGATAATATTCCATGTATGGTGAAAATTCATTGTAGTTGACACTTCGTTCCTTGTTTTTATTTATCTTGTTGTCCTGTCGAGGACATAAGACAAATTCCTGGCCTTACTCTTTAAGTAAAAGAAAAGAGGTGACATAAAGCATTTAAAAGAAGCATTTATTTCCATCTTAAATTATACGACAACAACAATAGCGCCATCGTGCTACTGAAACGGTTTTCACCATGTTTTCGCATAGCAGAAGATGCAACAACTTTGAAACTTGAAGATGACCTTAATGCAGAAGAGACATCAAGTGAAGATGAGGGTGAATTACCACAAGAAGGACGTTGGCTAAAAGACTTGTGGGAACGAGATAAAAGAAAGGAGTCCTGGGACGAGGACGAGGACGAGCATGAGGACAAGGCCGCCGCCGCCGTTGACGACGAGGATGAGGACGAGGACGCGGATCGTCCTAACCGTCGCACCCTCGCCCTCATGCTGGCCGTCGTCGTCGTTGCCGTCGTCCTCGTCCGGACCAGGATGAAATGAAGAGAACGTCTGCATTGTTTTTTACAAGGTTAGAAATGATGGCAGCTTGATAAGATTAATAAGATATGGAGCATTGTAAGTGAAATCCAAGCATAGAACAATGCTGTGGCAAATCATCATCATCTGCTGTCAGCCGTTGCTACTTAGATTGACTTGAGACTATAGGGTTCATCATAGTTTGATCTCTCGTTAGCACTCACCTGCTAAAGTTCGAGATTGATGTCTCTGCTTTTCATATTTCCCTTAGCAACATCTTTGAACCTTTACCTAGGGGTCCCTTGATTACGCATGCTCAAACAGAGCTGAGAGTATAATAGCTGCGTTGGACTATCCATGCTATGCACGTGACCAGAGACGCCCTGTGAAATAGCCCCACCAACCGGGGGTGAAATATCTATTTTCCGCAGTCTGTGGATGAAATTTTATGTAGTAATCATTTATTTAATAAAGGCTATTCAGCAAGAACTTTTACTATTTCGGATTTTGTTGTATTTGGTCCTAATCAGGTGTGTAAGCAATTTTTGAATGAACTGTTCCTTTTCTTTTTCAGCAAAAGCTAAGAAGCGTCCACCAGGGGCCGGTAAAGGAGGACTTTTCAGCGAAGAGGAAATTCCGGAAAGCAAAAGACCCGTTTATCCCCGGCACCTTTCTCGGATGGGTTGGGAGAAGGTGCAGGAACAAGTACCCCAATTCTAATCGGTAATGAAAAGAGCCCTCAGGGAAGTGAGAAAACGAACTGTCTACTAATGCCACCATGAAAAGCTTGTTGCTATTTTGAGGAAGATACTATGAGAGCATAAGGCCATCAAAGGGAATCTTCATCTGTCGCTGAGACAACAGAGCTTAAATCTGCATGTAGATAATTTCTGGGTGCAAAGATAACCAACCAAAGACTTGATTGTTTTGCATCATTTAGTAAGAACTATATTTTTAAGGTAGCACATGCAAAATCCACTTTGTAGTAATTACCGGCATATGATTAACAGACAGACTGAAAAAGATTTTCGTTCCACGTTGACAATTGCTGGATACGTCAAATTGTCAAACCTTTCCTGTGAATTGCCAAACTGGATTTTTGACGGCACGTAAATGATGGAAAAGGATAATGTTTCAATGTAATACATGGGTTGCTTTAGGGGTGGTCTGAGGAAATCGCGCCGTCCTTTTTTCTGTGAAATTTTGCAATTTTTTATTGCTGAAATCTCAGTAATTTATAGCTTCCAAGTGTCCATCAGGTCATCCCCCTCCCCCCACTTTCTGAATTTTCTATACCTCCTTGTAGTCCTAAGCTTTTAGTTTTTATTAGTATGTTGTTGAAGTTGTTCATTTAAAACTCCATTTGCTTAACAGATTCACAACTAATAGTATTGTAAACTTAAGACCACACAATTTTCAACATGAGGTCTAATTGGTCGGCAAGGGACTGTCCACTATAATGTTGTGAAGCATTTTTTAGGTTGTTATGAAGATTTTTGTCATGTGGTATTTACTTAGCTTATTTTATGTTTGCACTTGAAGATTCACTCGTGCTTAACAAGAGTCTCGTTATAGCTAGGTTTTTATACCAAGGTTAAACCGTAATTGTATAGACAGGTTTTGGAATTTTACTATCTTATAAGGTAGGGTTTTTTGTAACATAATTTTATTAAATCTGAGTGTCAGTCCTTGAAGTGAGCATGTTTTTAGCTTATAGCTTACTATGTTTGTTACCTACATCAGAGTTCCTGTTTCGGTTTAAGTTAGAGCCTCGTGGGTTTAGTTTTTAGAAAGTGCGTTCATAACTCTCATGGTCAGCAAAAAAAATTCACTTTATATGCATGAGTGTCAATGCATTTAGCGCGAATTAAGTACTAATTGGGGACACTATTTTGGCTCCAGCTGGAGACTATCCTCGGATACCCAGCGGCGGTACGGGTCAGTTTGAGTCGGAAAAAACGGCCGTGGCCAATAATAGACCCCATCTTAGTCACTTTTGGGCAAATGTTATTTTCTCGATCCCACCAGAGGCGATGTTACACGGAACGATTCGCAACGACGATTTTTAGCGCAACACAGCATTACATTGTTGCGACATTATTTTGAATGGTTGCAATATTGTTCCAACATTGCTACGCTGTGTTGCGCTAAAAATCGTCGTTGCGAATCGTCCCGTGTGACATCACCTTTACTTTCTATTTATGTATCCACAGTACTTTATAATTAATGATAAATACTTCACTTTTCACCTACAGTACGAGGGTCCACAATAGGTTTGGCGGGATGCGGGATTGGCTATTTTTCGCGGTGATACTCGGGATGCGAACTGAAAACAGGAGCAGGATGCGGGAATTTTAAAAACCAGCGGGAACGGGATTTCCTATTTTTATGTGGATGGGATGCGGGAATCGTAAGGGAAAAATAGCGGGATGCGGGAATTTAGTTTTGTCTTGACTAAACATTTATTAGCGTTGACTGAAAAAAAATGGTTCTTTAGTGTGTATACCGCCTTTGTATTCAAGCTATGAGTGTCAAAGGAAGTGAAGCCTGCCAAATTTTGCCCGTTATCACTTTCGTATATTGTTCGTCTTTTCCGGTTTTACTATTTTCGTCGTTTTTGTCACTCGGAAAGAGGAATCAAATCACTGAGGTTACAAGTCACGTTCATTGATCTGCACTGATTCCTGTTTTGTTGACGGATTTGACCTTTTCTGCTTTTTCCTGGACGGCCTGGTCGGATTTAGCCTGCTAGCAAGCTCTCCTGTTTGGGCGAGTGAAACGGGTCTCGTGAGAACGCGCGAGCGAGCGGCGAAGCCGCGAGGGGCAGAGGAAAGGAGAGCTTGCAACCATCCCTCACAAATTTTCATTTGTACTTCGCCCAGACGAAGGGAAATACCATTGGCTGAAAAATGACGTTCCGGAAATCAAAATTGATTGATAACAGGCCAAGTTGGCACCCGCTTCGTCTGTATGTCAAATTTGGTTCTCAGGGGGATCAGATTGGTACGGACAACTTGTTTCAGCCAGGATTCAGCCCTCAATGCAGACGGGCTCGTTAATTCTCGCAAAGAGAATATTGCATGCCGAGGATAAGTCGGACCGAGTTTGTAGTTCTTGTGGAAGGAAAATGAAAACCCTTCATCAGTTGTATTCATTTGTGTTAAGCGCCTTGTTTAGTTCTGAAAACCGGGAGAGTGAAAGTGAAGAGTGATTAAAGCGCTGTCTTCCAACATCGGTTTCTTCGCCCGATTGAATTCTGCTGGGTAGAAAAATTCAGAAACATGTACTTGACAGTGTAGCTGTGTAGCTTGACCGTAAAGAAGGAAAAGAGAAAGAGTTGGAAGCAACTGGAGTAAACCTTAAGAGAACCAAGTGCAGGAAAACGCTATTCTCTAGTTCCAGACGGACAAATAATTTTTTGTTGGTGATTGCGATGGGGAGTAGTCTTCTACACTGCAGTATGAAGACCTTATCTAGACTGCTTGCAGTCCGCATTTTCTCTTAAAATCCGTCTAGTTCTTATCTCAGCCATCGCGATAGCAAACCACGACGTTATGCTACAATAAGGGATTAGGACCAGAGTGACGTTTATCGAGGCTCGCGTGCTTGGGTTTCTCTTGAAGTAAATTTGCAAAGAAAAATAGGAGACAATTCGCAGTCCAACTGCTATTTATTATTAATTGTTTTCAACGACCTCATTATCCCTGTATTAGATCTATTATAACCTGGAATATCAATGGCCTTTGTGCCCCGCGTTCCCGGGGGGGGGGGGGCACTTTAGAAACTTCTGGGTGGGGATGTGCCGCTGGGACCCTGGAACCCTTGACCTATACCAGAGCTAGTTCAGCTGAATTTTGCTACCCTATACTAGAGTAAACTCCCAAATCCCCCCTATCCTAGAGTAGCTGATTCCCCAGTCTAGATAAAATCTTCAACCAACTGATCAGTTTCCCGAATAATGATACCCTATTCTAGACCCAAACGCTCTGATTTATATACCCTATCCTAGAGTAAACTGCTTGAAAACCATACCCTTCACAGCGGCACATACCCATATAGCCCATATATGGCAGTACCCCCGGGCCCGCGTTACGGTAGGCGACTAAAACCCCATTCACACGAGCTAAAAGAATCGGCACGGCACGCCAAATTTTTGGCACCGTACGTGCTGACGATTCTAACTGGCACGGCACTCCCAATTTTCGACTGGTAAACGTATCGGTCCCACATGTAATGTGGCACCAGTGCTCAAAATTTTAGGCGTGCCGAGACGGGAGGTAGTCTCGGCACGGGTAAACGAGGCACGGTGCCAAAAATTTGGCTTGCCGTGCCGATTTTTTTATCGCGTGTAAATGGGGTTTTTATGGTCTCGCTAGCTTGCAAAAGTTGATTATTGCCACTTTGGATGGAGAAGCAAACTTCCTGCTTGAAGGGTGTCCGCATTTGGTCGTGCTATTTGATTCAATAGCAGGCTTATGTTTTCATAAAAAAGACCATTTTCTCAGTTTTTTCAACCAGTGTGTTTATATACATTTTCCATGTCCTACACTCTACGTAAACAATTGACAGAATTGGCTTCATCGCCGGGAACTAGCAGCAAAGCAGTTGAATCAATCTACCTAAGTCCAAAAATACGGGACTTTAAAAATATCAAAGTAAACATGTACCGATGCGCGGACGAAAAAATGACCATCAAAACTGACAATTGTTAGAAGGTAAGTCTTATATAACGTCTATTTCAATAATTAAGCAAAAAATCTCGTAAAAAAGGGGGACGGGGTCGGGATTCGGGCATAAAATAGGGCGGGATGGCGGGATTGAGAAGAAAAAAAGGCGGGAAAGCGGGGTTTGAGAACCCCTATTGTGGACCCTCCAGTACTAACTTTCTGATACGTTTGCTAACCGTAAATGTGAAGAACTTTTTTTACCCAAAAAGTCCGAAAATGTGCGACCCCATTCTAGTAACCCCATTGAAAATGCGAACCCATTATAGTCAATCCAGACGTGAAAATGCGACCTCATCCAGTGGCGCATCCCCATTAGCCTCTTATAAGAAAGTACCTCCCCCCCGGGAATGATTTATACCCGCGACTGAACATAAGATAGTTAAGGACACAGAAAGTACGCTTCTGTCATTAGACGCCCTGTGATAATAAAAATACTTTTCTGTTCTGAAAATGGAACACCTGCCTCCTTTTCCACTCGCTCCCCGCCATCCCTCTGTTTTCTCGTAACCATATTGGACTGACGAAAAAAAACCTCTCAGGGACCTGTCAGGGGACAAACCTAGAATCCCTGGAATCCCTGAATAACATCTAACCCAGGCCTTTCCACAGTGTTGTTTGGAAAGAAAAAAAAATTAACTCATAAGAATTCTCCCCCGGTTAAAATTGGCTTTCCCTTTATAACAGTAAATTCAACATGGTTTCCAAAAAAGCTGGCACAATCCCAGAGAAGGAGGGGGTGGTACTTAACAAGTTTTATACGGGGAGGCTCCCGCCCCTAGCTCTAACCCCTTGCCCTTTTATATACCATTTTTCAAGAAAAAGGTTCCCTTTTCAAATACCTTGTATTAGCAAATGGTATCCCTTTTTTAGTTTTACCAAGTTTGTTAGAACGTTTCATCTCTTTTAACTGCTGTGAATGCAATCTCTTTTAAAAGGATCGGAATCATTCACTGCAAAATCAAAACTTTTTTTGGACTTTTTAACGCCATAAACTTTATCTTTCAGCCCTTTTGAGCTTACAGATCAAAATGGCATATTTCTCTACCCTTTCATATACTTCAACTAGTGAAATCCTTGTACGTTTTCATATACTTGAAGCAGTAGCCCTTTAGGGCGGAGACTCCGCCCGGTATAGGGCCATTATATAGGGAGTCTCCCCCTCCTCGGGGTCACAATAGCTCTCTTCTTAAAGCACAGTTTGAAGAATATTTCTTCCCGGCATTTTTAGTTTCTTAGAATGGTCTTTGAGTGCAAGATAATTGGGGCAATCTTCTTGGTTCTTGTAGACCTCCATCGGGATAAAAGCACAAAAGTAAAAAAAAATTTACGTACCTCCCTCTTTGCCATTCGGGATAAATGTGCCCCCAAACACCAACGCCCAAATGCTCTTGTACTAGGCCTAGATACAAATATCGCAAAAAATGTTCTAAATTTCTTTCTAGAAATTCTCATAAAAGTCCTAAATTTCTTAAAAAATCTTCTAAATTTCTCAGAAATATCATTTTTTTCCAATGTTAATTTGACCCATTTTTGGCTTTATATCAATTAAAGAAATGACAAAAAATATATCTAGCCGAATTTTTGAAAACCTACCTGAAAATGCACCAGAATATTCGCACAGAAAGCTGGCCATAGCCAGCTTTCTGGTCACTGCGCTGAGAGAAAACATAGGGGGCTTGCTGTCCTGCTTGGTCTCATTGTCAAGTTCAGTCCCTGAGCTAACTCGCCATGGGTTGGAAAGGGGCCTCCACGTCAATCCCTAGGGGGGGAGGCTGCTGCAAAAGCGTTGTACCTTCCGTTAGTCCTGGTCTGGGAGAGTCAGTGCACTGGTCACGTCTGCCTTTAGTTTGTCATGTGAAATTCTTGTGACGTTTGAGGCCCATTGGCCAATGAAAGCATTCCCCTCAAGCACGTGCTAGGCTGGGGGTGGAGGAAGTCAGGGGGTGACTTAACCTTGAATTCTCTGCTTAGAACTTGCTGAAGTCTCAAGCGTCCTCCGTCATTCAGGGCCTTTAAGCAGCTAGAGTGTATGGACAAGTCCAGAGTGTCTTTTTGATGGACTTGAATGTTTCTTTTGCTAATCAGGAACCAAGAAGAGAGTCACCTTAAGAGAACCATGGGTAAGAGCTGAGTTTCTTGGCGATATTTACTTTAGTTGAGTCAGTTTAAGGTGTGTGGGCTCCTGGTGTCCGATGTTACGGTTTTCATAAATCCGGCTAGATATATATTATTATTTGAATAGCAAAAGATGTATATTGCAGGGCTGGTTTATTTTAAAGTATAATAATTAAATAAAAACATCTAAGCAACTCGATTTCATCAATTTCTTTTTATTAATTAAATATTGCAATTTTCCTGGATCCCAGATAACCGTCGTAGGCGTGACTTTGAAACTGAAACAACCTCATCTTCTCTTCCTCTTTGTTCTTGTTCACTCGCCTGTTCAATTTCCCGTTTCGATAACTTCCGCCATGTTGACTGATTGATTCCACGTGGCGTCGAATTAATTTGTAGGTACTTTGTATATTGGTAGTATCGCTGGCTCGTAAAAGGACACGAAATTAATATAAACCTTTTTTTTTGTTCTTATGAAGTATCTTTTTTGTGATAATTGCTCTAAATATCACTTTTTTTCTAAAGTTCTCAAAAACTTCTAAATATCTCAAAAAATATCGCGATATTTGTATCTAGGCTTATCTTGTACCCTTCGCCGCTTTAAACATTATTAGATAAATTGACGGCAGAGTATCGGTAGTTTTTCCGCTACGCTTTCCCCGCCCCTCCCCTGTTAACAAGCACCTGAAAATGAGTGACCTTGGGTGACCTAAGTCCTGATTTCTGCTCGGTGTACCTTGGTCGCTGTCTGTACATGATGGCGAATCAAGTGATTAGGGCTCTGTTCGTATACAGTTTGGCTTTGTTTTATGGCTTTATGGTATGTTTTTTTCTGTTGTTGAGTGCTATTAGGAAACTTGAAATACCGAGAAGAGGAAAGCGACGAGAAAAACGTAAGTAACGATCGGTAAATTTGCACCGGTGCAAACTTGGCCTGGTCGATTCATCTTGTCTGTTGTGCTTTGTATCTTTAGTTAATTCAGTCATCTTTTTACGTTTGATAGTGCTCACTACAGCAGGGACTCTTCCAAACATTAGCTTTACATCAATTAAGGAGAAAGCTGGCAAAATTGCTTCTCCATTCAGAGCATACTATTTTTAAAGCGGCACGTGGAGAAGAAAGCGAACTGTTAGCTAAGCTTAAGCTTATGTATGCAAGCTCATTTTGGGCGACTACAAACTGGTTTTCGTAATGACCATAAAAAACCCATGTCATTATTTTTCTCTGTGATGATTAGTTAATGGTTATTTTATATGTTTAATACCATGCTTTGTTTTCGATTCATTGACTGCCCAAAGAACTGCTATGAAGGACCCGATACAAATAAACAAATCGAACAAATAAACGCAAGTGAAATACTTTTTTACTATGCGTAACCGTAAAATGTTATTCCCTGTATTTGTACAGTGACTTTTACTATTGCAGAATAAGGTGCCAATCAATTCGAAACATCAGCATCCCCTCACCCCCTCCCCCCCGCCTGGGCAATCTCTGGGGCATTTGAACTTTTTAAAGGGACAGGTTCACGGTATTGTGCATGTGTGAGTGTGACAGTAGCTGATTGTTTTTAAACCAATCGGAAGCGAGTTGGATGTACGCAGGGAAATTTACACAGGACTGAGTATTTCTGGACATTTGGTTCGATTTTATATGTCCCCATAATTCATATTCTTTGCTATTCCTCAGATAATTACGTGTTGCAGCCGGTAAGAATAAGATTTACAGCCCTGTCCTGCTCTGAAACAAACATTTACCTACGTGTATTTTTATGAGGTCTTTTACATACCCACACTAACAAAGCAGTCACCAATTGGCAAACAAAATTTGTAAACAAACCTAAATAGTAATTAATTAAAAATTTATTATAACGCGCTTAATCCGCCTTTTCCAAAAAAACCTTTTGTTAAATATGGAGAAACCAGTCGATGGCTCCAAACACAGTCAGATTTAACTAGATGAAACACACAACATAAGCATACAAGTTTCTAACATGGCGGTCCACTCACGAGCTGACCTGCTTTAATGCGCATGCATTAAACAACAACCGCTGACAGATAAATAGCGAATACACCTTTTATTACTGATCTCTCTGTTCGCTCTATATAAACCTAGAAATACCTGCAAATAACACCTGACCGATGACAAAAACACACAGCGTATGAGTATAAAGATTATCCTAAATTGAGCTTAATTTTCAATTGCTTTTCAGCAAATGAAGGATGTTATAAACATCCACCAGGCGAATGTTAAAATCCTAATAGGTCAGTTTTCAAAACATGTCAATCATGGGCTTGATACTTAATCCAATTGGCTGAAATTAACATCAAGGCCAATCTTTCAGTAATCATTTAAAAATATGTTGTTAGTCAAGTGTAGGGAGATTTCTGTACAGAATTCATTGTTAGAATTAGAAACTGGAGGCATCAATTTCAGCTTGAAAGGAGAATAGAAGAAAGCAGTTTTCTTGCTTTCTTCTATTATTTAAAGAACCATATAAAGGAAAAGACCTGTCAGCTAGATGAGTTTTACTGACTGTTTTTGAGAAGTCTCCCAGTTGCTTGTTTTACTCACTAGAAGAAAGAAAGGAAAAATCATGCTGCCTGTGTGATTGTTATATGCCGTTTGACCACAAAAGCCTGTCATATAGGCTATGTCTTATCTATGAATCTGAAGTTTAACAACTGCTAAAGGATTCTGCTTTGCATATTCTTGCTTTGTATATATGAATTATTTATGTATTTATTTACTATTTTTTTTCTTTTTAACTGGAAATATTTGATTTTATTGTTGTCCATATATATCTTTTTATTTCATAGGTTCCCCAATTATGTATCGGTCAAATCGAAGCTTCAACATGCGCCCCCCCGGGCATACCCCGGGCATTTGACCCCTTTGCCATCCCAGGGGGGGGGGGGAATTTGATTATCAGAGTCTTCCAGGGGGTGGGAATTTGATCCCCATGCTTTAGGGGTGGGGAATTTGAACTGCACCCTCAATTTCATGTAAAATCTTTGGTGTTGCAAGCTATCATGGGGGACGCGGTGTTAGAGGATTTTCGTGGAAAAGATTGTGCCTTTGTGGCCAATTGGTTTCGAGGAAAGGGCTTAAACAAGCTTTGTGCCGTATTTGAAGTATTTACATTTTAAAATTTTTAATATTGGATTCAGGCTTTGAATGTATGAATGTATGTTATTGTTGTGTTTACAATGAAATACATTACCTATACCGGCGATTCAATACAACAACATAAAATAGCTCAGGTCAACTACTTTGACCCACTGAAAGTATGTTAATTAATAAGGTTAGCGATGATGCATGTCAGTGAAATGGCCGTGATGTAGTAAACTCAATAGGTGGGATCTTTTTTTATAGAACGCTTTGTATGTTGCATGACGAAGAAAAACTGAGCATTCAGGGACCTTGTAGCAGCGATTTCCCTGCTTTGCACGAGACTTTTGTTCGTAGTAAATACGCTAACAGTGTTTCTCAGTTTTTGGTTATATTTATAAAGATTTTGTTCGACAACTGAAGGCGTTTCCGCCGTCCTTCTGTCATTTTTGTGCCTGTGAAATGTCCCCGGGGTGGGGGCATTTGGTCACCTGAATGGACCCTAGTGTGGGGCATTTGAACGGCATTTTTGCCCGGGTAGGGGGGAATTTGAACAATAATTTTCAAAAAAGTCAAATGCCTGGGGGGTGGATGTTAAAGCTTCGATTTGACTGATACATTAGCTTCATAGCTAAAGTACCTGACACTTAAATAGAGTTTATTATTATTATTATTGTTATATTTATAATTATTCATTAATGAAATCTTTGGATGGCCACGTTTTTTGAAGCTGTAGTTTGCGTTGCCTTTTTGTGTCTTTTGTGTCTTTAAATACTTTAGTTTTTTTTCGTGTAAGAGTTCCTGTGTGTTTTAATGAATAACAAAACTACAAAAGAATAAAGTCAATCTTGTTAAAGGGCCATGATTAGTTTTACTATAATGTGCCCTTCTCCATTCTAATTTTCTTCTTTTATTATCATTATTATGTACACGTAGTTTAAGCAACTTTGCACCAATTGATATTGTACAACTAATGTATTATTAATATTGTACAACTATTGTATTATTGTACAACTAATGTATTATAGGATGGAGTAAAAAATAAAATACAAAAAATACAAATACAAAATCTTCATGGGGGTCATATGCTTGACCTGGCTTGACTGTTAAAGAGTTGATGTTTTCATTTCACTATAGCTCCTGCATGCCTTCTTGACCCTGAACTTGGTGAACACCATTTCCTGAGAACAGCATCAAATATCAGGATCCATTATGTTGCTAAAGGAGACACAGGGAAACCACTTATGCTGTGTATACATGGGTTCCCTGAGGTAATGCACACACGTTGCTGCTGTTTGTATACCAAAGCCATTAAAAAGCCATTAAAAAGCCATTAAAAAGTTTAAATCATCCTGCCATCTGGAACTAGAAGTACAAGGGTTTTTTTAGTTAATCATTAAATTTTATTAATGAAGTTTACCATACCCTAAGAGAAACAAAAAATGCATTGAGAGGACTCACTCCAAAATATCATTAAAAAAAAATTAGAATAGAAATAGTAATTAGTCAAAAGCAGCAGCAAAACAAAGAAGATATTTAAGGAATGCAAACAAATGGAACATACATATTTAGGTATTTTAAATTATCTTCAATTCAGATATAAAAAAACTGGACATAACAAAATAAATCATTATTTTGTTCTGGAGACAGTAATTATAATTTGCGCTTTAGACACAGAAGACCACCTGTTAGTAAGGGCTAACAAGGGTAAACATGCAAATAAAAGTTGCCTGATGATTGCTTCGCAAAAGGCATTCAAACTTTGAGTAGCAATAAATGTTCAAGATTTAATCCAGTTCCATCAGTCTACTTGTAAGTATATTTTGTAATTTATTAGCAGATGTAATGCCATTTTTCAAGGAAATACTGTTAATACAATGTAAACCATTATTATTATTATTATTATTATTAATACAAAGAAGTTAAATATATAGAGGATATTACACGGTGGCACGAAGATATGAATTTTATTTGCGAGTGGCAAAACAATAGTTTATGAACGAGCGCAGCGAGTGAGTAAAATATTGTTTTTGCCACAAGAAAATAAAATTCATATCTTCAAGCCGCCGTGTAATGTTCCTTTTATTATATAGACAAAAAGACATTGATAAAATAATAGAGGGAAAGGACCGAAATTACGTCATCGATAAACTCGTGTGAGATTATAGAAAATAAACCACTCGGGTCCTGGATGTAGTTTTTATGAATTTTACGAGTGGTATATTTTCCAGTAAAACACTCGAGTCTATATAATAAATAATAATGAGTAACTTAGAAAATATTATGCATTGAAAACCACTGACCCTGTTTTAAAATCACTTTGCAGTTTTGGTATTCCTGGCGATATCAGCTGAAAGCTTTTAGTGATAATTTCAGGATGGTTGCTGTAGATTTGAGGTACTGTAAAAAGTATATAATGATTTGTAAAATACAAATTGCAAGTAGCCAAACTGTATTTTGCATAGCTGCTACAACTGTAAAACATACCTGAGTAATTAAGTTACACAAAAAAATGTGGGATTTTTGTCCAGTTAGCTAACTCATTTTTGGCATCCTTGAGACTGACAGAAATTATAGCTCAGTGACATGGTAATTTAATTCAAAACTGTTGAATATGCCCTCCCCTATCCCATTCTCAGCAGTTTATTTTGATTTCATGAGAAACAAAATTAAAGAATTTTTAAAAAGCTAAATCTTACAGCAGTATTTTGTATTTAAGGGGCTATGGTGAAAGTGACAGTCCTAAAGGGCGAGAACATTACAAGACGTCATTATTGGTTAACGACATTAAAGAAATTGTAAGTGCACTTACATGTATTGCTGAAACAACATATTGAGTGAAGAAGATATAAAAATGTTTAATCCTCTGCAAGGCTGTGCTCTAAAGAAAATTGAAGGAAGCCCAGTGTCCCGAAACTGCAAAATCTAGGGTGCCCAGCATATGAATTGTATGAAAAATCTGAGATTTTCTAGTTGCCCGAGGGCAAAAGTAAGGTGCCAGGGGTCACTGGGCCCTGCTAGAGCACAGCCCTGCTCTGTATGCACCTCGTAAACTTTGTTATAAAATATTTTATAGATTCAAAGGACACTTTTAAATTAAACATCATAGTCTAGAAGATTTTGTAAAAAGATCACAAATGTAAAAAAAAAACAAAAAAACAAAACAAAACAAAACAAAAATTAAATAAATAAGAATAATAAATTTTTTCTTCAATGTCTGTACAGCTTTGAGTACATGTTGTCTAATACAGAAATAAGGGCTATAATATCTTATATTATACTGTGTTGCAAAGGAGGTCATCAGAGTTTTCTTGCCGCTGGTAAAAGAAAATTTTTATTTTTTTTATATCAATACCCGTAATGTGCAGGATTGGTAATGTGAGCTCAGAAAAGATATTAATACAATTTATTAATTTATTTACAGATTGAGGCACTTGATTACAAATCTTGCACTTTGCTGAGTCATGACTGGGGTGGAGCTTTGGCATGGTAAGGTGGCCACTGCATCGTAATATAATCTCACGGACACTTGTCCATTAGACAGAAGTTATCAAGCCAATTCCTCTAACTCATGCTTGTGGATGCCATCTATCTGAGTGACAGTAATTACCCTTCTTGAGAAGTGTTGGTATAACCTGTCAATTCTGAACAAACAGAAGGTATACCATGAGCTGGTATACCAGAACAAGTCTTGTAAACAAATGATTACAGGCTCTGCCGCCCTTCCCCACCCCAGTTTCCTTCTGTTTTATTTTTATCTTTGCGCTTTCTCAATTTTGCTGACCTGACTATCTCGGAGCCTGAAACAGGCTAGCCTCCCATACAGATATTCTTAGGGGTTCATTACGTGTTCCTGCCCCACTAACCTGTGATAAACCCCTAAGAACGTTTACGGGGGAGGCTAGGAATAGCCACTTCAGTGAGGGCATGGTATTCACAGGCAAGCAAGAGCTTAGTATGTCCAGCAGTCATATTATCCTTGATTTTAAGATCATAAGAGAGTTGGGGATGGTACAGAGACCAAGCAGCTGCGACGGAGACTAACATAGCCATGTAAAAGATGCTCTTTCCTCTGTTAAGAACCTGTGTCATTTTAAAGAAGAAACCCTCGTGACCCAGATTGTTGGAGTCAGGGTTGTTTAGTCAGTCCCCTCTTCTCTTGTGCTGACCAATTCAACTTACTAAACCCAAAGGAGTGTCTTATTAATTTGATAAATCTGTCTACGTGTGTTTTAACCTCAGGTCTTTTGCACACATGCATCCAGAGTTTGTAGACAAATTGATATTTTGCAACATCCCACACCCAAGGTTAGTTCTAGCACCTGCCACCTCCCTTATTTGTTATGTACAGTCATTTTTACAGTCACCCACCTAATTTGACACCTCAGTATTACAGACAGTTTGCTTTGTCCCTGGGGAAAGAAATTTCTTCAAATTCACTCCCATAAAATGGACACCCCGTTATTAAATATGGACACTTTCTGTGACCCCCCAGTGTCCATATTATCGGGATTTGAATGTATAGATAATATGAACTATACTGCTATATACTGGGTTTTCTGTTTCACTAATTGTCAGAAAGTAAAAAAAATTATGAACTTAGTTTCCACCAAGTAAAACTCTACAACTGTTCGTAACTCCATAAACACTGCTTCCGTCACGCTTGACTATACACGCCAAACGTTTAACTTTCTTTGCTTGTAAAAAATAGTTAAAACCTCGTCTGGACTCGTCTACTTATAAACTTTGACGATAAAATTCTAGAACTTCTTCAAATACTCTAATTATAGAAAGATTACAAAAATAGATGCTTTAGAAAGGCTTAAACAAGATCCTAAAATAAATAAACTACGAACCCTCGTGAAGCTTCTAGAATGCCAGCCAGTCACCGAAAAAAAAAATTTGGTAACACCTCTATGCCTGAGCCAAAACCGCTCGCGCATGCTCCATACTTGATCTGATTTTCTAAAACAGCGCTCGTGTATTCTCTGATTGTCTTAGCCGAGTTAATCCAGCTATCGAGCGAAAGTGATCATTAGATTCAAGACGAGGATGACCACGAGTACGAGATTTGACTCAAAGTTTTTTCGCGTATTCTCAAAATATAGACTCCCCGGAAAGCTTCATTTTACCATTTTTCACCTGAAAAGTTAGCACTGTTACCTTTAGTGAAGGAGGTTACACCCTCTCCCGATGGCAAAATGATAAAACTTCTAACATTTGATACCGTAAAATTCCGAAAATAAGCCCCTCCAACTGAAATATAAGCCCCCCAAACTGGTAACGCAAAAAACCCTCCGTCCAAATATAAGCACTCCCGGGGGCTTGTACTTGGAAAAGTGTCCTCAAATACTGATTAAAACAAAGCCAAAACGTTAAATTTACTTCCAACTATAAGGCTAGCCCAATCGGTTTTGAAACGCAAATTTCCCTCCGTAGATAAGCCCCTCCAAAAATAAGCCCCTTAAAAAAGGGCCTTTGAAAAATATAAGCCCCTGGCTTATTTTCGGAATTTTACGGTAACTTGTTTTCGCCACTTCGACATTCTCGCTAAAACTCGTAGTAGAGTGTAGTTTTCCCGCCAAAATGACGCTGGTTCACGCGCGTGTACCACTTAGTACCGAGAAAATCACGTACTCGTTGTCGTCCTCGTCTCAGAATCTTAAAGTCTCTATTATGGAAAAACGTTGGCCTGGCTAGGAGGGTGAGCCTACCATCACAAAAGGGTTGTTGGCTCGGCTAGGTGGGTCCCCCTTCTAACAGGGCCAATCTTTTTGTTTCGGCTCGCCACGTTGTGTAAGGAAATCAGTGGCTCGCTGAGGGTAGCTTGTGTAGGCGGTGACCCTTCAACCCGGGTAAACTTTTCTCCATATAGAGTAAACAGGGCCTAATGAATGTGATAGCAGGTTTCTCTGTTTCTGTCCATCAGATGCTTTCAGAAGTACTTCCAATCCTCCAGAAAACAGTTCTTTGCCTCTTGGGTAAGAGAAACTTTGCTGATGGGTACTACATGTATGATATTAAGCACTGAGTAATTTTTAGGAGTCCCTCATCCCTAATCACTTATCAAAAGTCCTGTCAGTGGAAAATTAGCCCTCTGGCGCCCCTCATTCCCCCTCCCCTTTTCATCTTTTAAAGCCTGGCCTGCCGCTGAGTCTTGACTGTAACTGCAAGGATCCTCCCTACAGCTGTTTCTTCATTCCGCGGTTCAGTTAGATGAAATTCATAAATACAGTGATTTTGTTACAAATGGTTAGGGTGAGTCCTGAGACTCATCTTGTGAAACATCATGAGTCCCAGTCTAGAACCACTGAGTCGCAGTTAAAAAAAAAAAAAAAAGAAAATCTGAAATTGAAAATGCTTGGGCCTGTATTTGACAAGGCAGATAAAAGGCATTCTTTTGTAACGCGCAACGAAGACTAAAAGAAATGTGCGTTGTTAAACAACAGCCACAGAAATCTCACGAACAGTATATTCTATAAAACATCTTCAGATCGATCGATCTTTGCTTCCTACGGGACACATTCCATGAACTTTTGTGCATCTTTAGCGATTTTTATGCGTTGGTGACGCTGGAATCAGAGGTAACAAAATCACTGGTATTACACATACTAATTATTATTTCATTCGTGTTTGTATTAACTCTCTAAGCCTCCTAAATACATATAAATTCTCCACAGTGGCATCCATACATTGCCTTGAAAAATTAGTCGAAAGAATTCGTAAAAAGATCAAAGCAATTTTTCCTTTAGTGATTATCTATCAATTCTCTTAACCTTTCTACTTGATTATGTATTGACGTGGTTTGGAGAAAATAATTGTTGGTCGCTCTTGGAACTTAAATGGTTGAGACGAGTTGTTTTTTGTTTTTCAGTACATCTTTTACTTTCAATTGCCATACCTTCCTGAGTTTACGATTGAGATGAATGACTACAAGATGTTAAGCATGGCTTTTAAGGTGATTCCTTAGTAAAAAAACCTAACGTAGATTGTAGATGAAACTTGGTACACTGATGTAACAAGTCAAGAAGATGACAAAAAAAGTAATAAAAAGTGGTGGTCACCCGTCACTGTGCTCGTTTTGACGTCACATTGCTGACAAATACGGCTATTTAGAACCCTCTGGCAAAAACCGCGCGCAGCCCAAAACTAGACAAAAATTAAGGAGAGATTTTTTCGATGATGCATGTGGTATCGCACAGAATTTGATTTAAATGTTTTATTTATCCACTTACGTACCAGAAATTAAAATGCCTTTTTATGCTACTGTTTTTACTTTACGCTCCAAAGTAGACTTAATTTGGACACGCTGTATTCGACCTGTAAAAGCTCAATCCGTACAATTTAGTAAAATTGCCAAAAAACTCAACATAGATTTATGCCCATTTTTTTATCATTGAAAGGGAGGATTGTTCTTATTAAAAGTGGGGGACACCGTACTCGTTTTTGCGGTAGAGCAGCATGTGTAGAAAGTGTGCACCACATGCGTTTCCTCCGATTTTTGAGAGAGGACTGGGGCGAATTTTTAAAGTGGCATGTATGTGAAAGAGGGAAGAAAGCATTAAAAAATCCGTTTTTCCAGAATTTACATCGAGATATCACAGTTAGAACGCAGTGTGATAAAAATGGTGCTTAAATGAAAATCAAAGTGAGATAGCACAAGGTTAACGTCCACTATCGAGGTTCTCCGTAAGAATGTCGAACTCAGCAACACGCGTACTGCTTACGTTATGCACATTCCCAACACATTGAGTCTCCTCTCGGCAAGAAATAACCGCAACCGAAAATTCTAATAGCGTTTCTCTTTAGTCAACTTCATTTTAATAATGTTACTTTGGATGCTCTTTTTCACGGCGGCCATCATGTTATGCGGAATAAGAGATGCGCAGTGCAAAACCAGCGAATCACCTTAAGGTCCAGTGCTGTACTGTGCAAAATTTGGGACCACAGTCAACCTTGGACACCATAACGAAAACGGATCTTTATAAAGTACAGTCTCGTTCTTTTGAGCCTCGTCGCGATTACTCCGGGTTGAGTTTCCCTGGATTCGAATTCTTAGGCCCGCACATAAACGTTAGCCTGCAAGAGCATCCGGTTTTTCGGCTCTAGTTTTGAAACTAGAAACTAGTGCCGAAAAAACCGGATGCTCTCGCAGGCTAATAAACCTCGGCGTCGTATTTTTCACAAAGTGTGTTGCATGTCCAAAGTTGCTTATAAAATAACAATACGGGCAACATTTTCGTTCAACTTGTTGTGCAGCATAGTTGTTTGTCAAATTAAAAATCGTCGTTGCCTGTTGATATCGCCTCTTGCGTGCTCAGCTTGTTACCGAACTGATGTTAGTGTTGAAAGTTGCGGTTACATGTTGCAGAATTTACACTGAGGCTAGACCCGAATTAGTACTACTTTTTCGGCGCGCATCACTGCGCCTTTGGTTTTTTGATGTGCTTGTTTTCGCCGTCGTGGTGATTTCCTTAAGCTGTCATCATAGACTTCGTAGTTAACTTGGTTGAACTGAGAGCTAGCAAACTATCACATTTGTTCCTTTGTTTTCACAAGGACGTGGGTTTCACAGATGAAGATGTGGAAGCGTACAAGTATGCTTTGAGTCAGAATGGTCTTAGTGGTCCTTTGAACTATTACAGGAATGCACTGTTATCTTCTGATCGACCTCGGGGACTGTTTAACACCAAGATAAAGGCCCCAACTCTTGTTGTGTGGGTAAGCATATAATGTCAAAACCAAAGCCCCCAGGAACCTCGTTGCTGCCTTTGCCTTAAGGTGGGAACACATTAGGCGATACGTCGCTGCAACACTTCGCGGCGACAAATCACTCCGTGTGTACAGGTCGGGCGATAACTTGCTGCAACAAGTTGATCGACTCGTCGCGGCGACAAATCGCTTCGTGTGTACTGGTGAATTCATGTGCAAATCTTTGTCTTAGCAGGCAACAAGTCGCACAAATTTAGTCTGATTTGCTTTCGTGCAACTTGTTTCGGGGACAAAATTCTCCAGTACACACGGAGCGATTTGTCGTCGCCGCAACGTGTTGCTGCAACTTCTCACCCAGTGTGTTCCGACCTTAAGGATGCTGGGAAGCAATCTCGTTCCTAGGGTGTCTCGTCTTTCCGAATGAAGCCAGATTGGACACCTTATGAATTTTACACAACGCATTATTTCCATAATGGAACAAGACTGGAATGTAGAATGAGGCTAGAATGGCTGAAGAAACCAAAACTACAGAGCTCCAGTTATGGAGAGAACACAGTAGAGAGTTATGCACTGATCTGCAGTGATTAGGGTTAAGCACTGAACTGAAAACGGTTAGCTTTCAAATATTGTAATGGGGTACGGCATATATAAGAACATGTATATTTTAAAAATTACTGGATTTGGCAGCTAGTCCTCGATGGTGTAGTGGATATGGATTTAGGATATAAAGCAAGTGACCCGGGTTCATAGCATCACAGTGGAGTTTTTCTATTTCACTTTTATATTACACAGTAAAGTTGGACTTAAGTTTTTCTTCATGTAATTTTACTGAAAGAAGCAATCTGACTTCAGCCGATGTTACCTAATGCTAACCGGCTAAGAAGAGGGGGACAAAAGAAAGCGCGCGGAGGACGATGGGAAGGGGTAGAGAAAAAAATAGACAAGTTTCTCGTTTTCCCATCCAGAGGCAGGAGCTGGAGATTTAAAGATTTATTTTGTTTTATCCTTCTTGAATTACATGTATTAACGAGTTTTTTTTAAAAATCATTTTTAGGGCACGGCAGATAAGGCACTCACTGTTGAGACCTTGGAAGGAACAGAGGAATATGTTGAAGATCTGACAATCAAGTAAATGGCTTATTATTACTCATTAAAAATATTTCTCCTTTTATTGACTAAGATCACACGCATATTTCGTCATAACCAACTTTTGTTGGCTAAATTTGGAAGAATTTGCCAAATTGAACCGATGATGTCAAAAGTGCAGACCTGGGGACGATTGAGTGAGTAATGGCGAAGTAAGCCGTATAAATGGCGGAACATTTTACCTCGTTACACGGCGAACTGTTGTCTAAAAACATAGCAAGAACAGCAAGAAGACAACTCGACGGACGGCATCTTCTATTTGGAGTATATTTGCAGACCTTAACAGCCCGTTATCTTATAAACTTCCCGATAAAGGTGCACTATCGATATGAACTTAACGTCGACGGAGGTGACCATGTTTTAGCTTGTTTTTAAACCTAGAACTATTTTGAATGAATAATAAAGCAATTATTGAATTCGGCTTTCGTAGGTTATGAAGAATTGGATAGTGATTTATCCGGTCGATAACGCTATCAAACTTTTCAACAACTGGGACGAGCAATCTCTATCCAGTGGAGAACGCAACGGTTTCCCTTACTCTCATCCAATTGATAGTGATTTATCCAGTGAATGGCTATATCCCGTTTTTGAAAACGGGGGCCTTACCTGCAACTAGTGGAACTACCTTATGGTCTTCCTAACTTACTTACCGACCAACCAAGCCAAAGGATGAACTGCGGACCGACTAAAAGCTCGATCAACCTGCAGACGACTCCAATAAACAGACGTACTCGGATTGACGACCAACTTACTGACTGAAGTTTAATCGAGCTTTTTTGAGAAATTTTCTTCCAACGAGACTTGAGGCAGTGAAATTTTGAGCCATTGAACTTTTGGTATTAAAAAAATGGTTGACTAATTGATTGATTTGTTATATTAATCTTGCATAATATTTCAACAGGTATGTCGATGGAGCAAGTCACTGGGTTCAGATGCATGAACCGGAAGTCGTGAATCAGCACATCCGGGACTTTTTAGCTGCTCACCCGAACTGAAGGCGTCATTTGGGAGCTTAAGCAACGGCGACGGCAATGAAAACGGCAAGAAAGCAGTAGGCTTAGATTAGAAAAACAACATTTTATTTGCATTTATTTGCCGTCTTTGCACAACTACGGCGTCAAACTTCCTATAATTTTTATAGTTTTACGTAGATCGTCAGACACGAGACAACGACTTTATCTTTCTTTTTCTGAACTTAGATACAGTCCTTTCGAATTTAACTCCAGAAGAAATCTGCATCATATGGTAAATTGAACGAGATAGAATACAAGCGATAGGAAGGAGGTCTTGCGCCTCGCTTCTGTGACTTACATGACCCGTGACATAAATGACACTTTCGTGACAAATCACCCGGATGACAGGAAAACCCTCCTTTGCTGGTAGCTGGAGAAATACAATAATGATCAGTCACATTCAGAATAAAACCATTTATTTCTTTCAGAAATAAATCTCATTTGATTAACGTTTTCGTTCTGGTTGCCGTCTCGGTTGCTCAAGCCCCCTAGTAAGAGAACGGTTCTATTAAAAGCATTCCACCATAATGCAAATCGAGTGAAAACTTGTAGAAATTAGTCTGCAACGAACTTGACCGTGGCCACCCATTGTTAATCGGCCAGTCATAGGCCTCCTTGGCAACAAAGGGGCCTGCTTTTGTTAGTTAGCTAACCAATAAAAAACGAGAACATCTCTTTAAAGTTCATAATGTCGGTAGTACCGGTTGAGCTCATTGCATTGTCTTGAGTCATAGAAATGAGATGTGATTATTCTTTGAAGAGTATATCGTAAATTAATTATCATGGACCAATCAAAATGCAACCAATAAGGATTATATATGTAGTTGTATGTTTGATACCTATAACCAAACGTATGTGTAGTAGCGTATTAGTATATAGCACAAATCAGTTAACCCAAACGACTGAAACGAGCCCAATCTTCTCTTGGTTGACTGTTTATTTCATTAAAAAGAATCAATGTGTATGTTTGATAAGTTGGTCTATGTCTACGCATGATTAAAGTTCAAATCATTTTAACAATAGAAGACTTTGAGGAGGGGGTTGAATGTCCACGCAATTCATTCTGGGTGATCCATCCGCCATTTTGCCTTTTTTCAACGGAGAATCAGCATATACGCCAATCCCGTCCCCAGGGTCTTCTCGCTTTCAACACTTCCACATTTCCCATAATGCACCTTATTTGCTCCCCCCCGCACCCCCTCCAAAAAAAAAGTTTGCATAAGTATTGTTTTCAGTTTCTCTTGGGACGGTTGTAATACCCAGGAGAAATGAAAAACAAAGGTTATGCAAATTTTTTTTTTTGGGGGGGGGGGGCGGATAAGGTGCGTTATGGGAAATGTGGAAGTGGCGTATTACCATTGGGCTGTGCCACAGGCCGCCCATGCAATAATAGGAGACTTGAGCATGTACACCACGCAAACGTAGTCGTTTTTTTCAGATGAAAATCTTGGTCCTGCATGTGTTTTGACAGTCAAAATAATTTAAGATTATGAAGTTCTCCGAATAATAAAGCGGTTGGATTTATGGACGAAACTTTTGGGTTTGTGGAAGAAACTGTGGGATTTTGGGACATCTCCATTGTGCTTCAAAATTTTGCCTTATCGTAAATGACCTAATAAACGCCCACCTCTGAATATCTAATAAATTCTCCTCTCTACGCTGTTGGCATTGTATTAGACAGCCCTCTCTAATAAACGCCCCCTGTCTAATAGACACCCTCTACGAGAATTTCTCCAGTTCCTTGCTTGATTAATAAGGCATTGCGTGTTTTATCTTGTTCAATTTCAAAGTTAAAGTGAGGAGAAACTAACGATGGCAACACAATAACCCTGAGCGAGGATTCTGACATCGATCTTGGGATTTGAAAGAGCGATATGGATCTCTTGAGGGCCTAGACGTATTAACTCATGGAATGGATATTCCTCTTTTTTGACTCTCTGGATATTTCTGCCGAAAGCATACAGTATAAGTTCTTTTGAGCTTGTTACGGTTATGAGAACAAACGCCCCTCTTTTTAAAATGCTTCCTTTCTATTACCCCCCCCCCCTCCCGCCAACCCCCGCTTGTACCCCTTAAATTCAGAAGCCCCAGGTGTTTAGTTTATTAGGTCAGTTACGATGAGCCATTTTTCCAGTTTTTTCCTGTGATGCGCTTCGGACTTGAGGGAGCCATCGTCTAGACTTGCACTACATACGGCTGTTGGTACATGATGGCGAACAAATTGATTAGGGCTCTGTTCGTATACAGTTTGGCTTTGATTTATGGCTTTATGGTATGTTTAGTTATATTGTTGAGAGCTATTTGGAACCTTGAAATACCGACAAGGGGAAAGCGACGAGAAAAACGTAAGTAACGATCGGTGAATTTGCACCGGTTCAGCGAACCTGATCTGTTGTGCAGTATTGTACATGTATATCTGATGTCAATTCGGTCATCTTTTTGCGTTTAATAGTGCTCACTACAGCAGGGACCCTTCGAACTATTAGCTTTACATCAATTTATGCGAAATTAAAGCTGCTGGCTAATTTGCTTCCCCTTTCGGCGGTCCTGTAGCTGTGGAATCGACTTGTAAGCGAAACGACCCGTTTCCTGTGGCAGCTGTCCTCATTTAAGAGGTACGAAGAAAGGAAAGCGCGCGACCTAGCTGTCAGCTAAGCTCACGTTCTTTTGCTTTTTGAACGTTGTATATTACTAATACAAAGTTCAAAAAAATGGAATGACCCTCACGCGGTACAAACGGCTTATCTACAAAATACAGGGCAATTTTCTAAGTATATTCCTTTGCATTGGGCGGTACCCTGCGAGCAGAGGGTTCGCATGGCTTTTAGCGTTTATAATACCAAGTCAGTGGCGTAGTAGGTTTGTTTACGCGCTGAAAACCTCTGCAGCGAGCCGCTTGTTATTTGCGTTGTGCATGTGTTACGAGTTAGCGACAAGAGGAATATTTAGTTCGCTGACTAAACGTAAGGAACGCAGCAGGGTGTTCGGAACAGTGACAGGATGAGTTATAGTTATTCCAAAAATGAACGTGGCATCACAGCGGCACCTCTACGACATAACTCACAACTCTGGACTTGTAAACAATGAACACGGCCTCCGCCAAAAACTGAACCCACGAACCTGATCAAAACGAGTGTTCTTGTTTATTTGCGAAGTCGAGTTCTAGAACGTTCGAACAGGTCTAATAATAGTACGCTCAGTGAGCTCCTAAAATAAACAATCTGAGAATAGTCATGCAATGTCACGCTAGTCACGCTAGACACTTTTTGGCAACATAACCCCCTCTTGAGAAGAAACGGGAACAGAAAAATTGTTAAATTGATGGCTTCTACCTTGAAATTGTACCTTTGTAGGAACATCACCCATTGCATGAGTTGTGCGTTAGCATGTCTTGCGCTGTCCATGTACTTTAAGTATTTAATGGTTAGTGGACTGTCTGCAACACATATGGTACTCCATACGAGTATAAATGAAATCTCTTGATTCCCCACACAATCACAATTAAGTCACTCTTTCTCGATTGTACATTTAGAGTCGTTGCACTTTGCGCTTAACAATTTCTTGCTGGTTAATGACTGTAAAGGAGTTGATGTTTTCATGATCATTTCTCTGTAGCTCCTGCCTGCCTTCTTGACCCTGAGCTTGGTGAACACTATTTCCTGAGAACAGCATCAAATATCAGGATCCATTATGTTGCTAAAGGAGACACAGGCAAACCACTTATGCTGTGTCTTCATGGGTTCCCTGAGGTAATGTTAACAATGCTGCTTCTGTTTGTTTTCACAGCCTCTGCATCCATAGATGTTAAATAAATGTACATTAAAACTACCAAAAAGTTAAAAAAGGTGACAATTACATCATCTTTCCATTTCAGGTCTATACTAGCTAGCCTGCGCCACAAAACTGATGAATCAAAACTCTGGTTAAGTCTGTCTGTGAAACAGCACTAAAGTCTTTGTTCTGGGTTCCACACCAGGATTTGAGTACACGCCATGATAATGGCCTGTTAAAAAAGTCATTGTAGATTTGCCAATCCGACTATGAAAGAAAATTTGAAACACGTTTCTGAAACTTTGTAGAGTCTGTTGGGGGCACAGAACATTAGGATCTGGGTGTTGCTTTGCAGACATTACTAACTGAGGTTGAATTGCATCTGCATGGCACAGGCTAATACAGGTCTACAGCTACAAGGGTTTACTTGTTACGATGTATAACAGATTAAAATAGGATATGAGTTAGTGAGCAAATTGCTTAATAGACAATGTAAATTAATATTAATATACTGGCCTTAAGAACCACTGACCCTGTTTTTCTGTTTTAAATATTAAAATCACTTTGCAGTTTTGGTATTCCTGGCGATATCAGCTCAAAGCCTTTAGTGATAATTTCCGGGTGGTTGCAGTGGATTTGAGGTACTCCAAAAACTATAATCATTTATTATTAAACGCCTAAGAAAAACGTCACATCAAGAATTTTCTCTGGCATTGCCCTGTGGCCCCTGGCACTCTTAGGCAACAAGGAAATCTTGGTTTTTTCATGCAAAACACTATACTCAACACACTGGATTTCATAGATTTTATAGAGCAACAGGGTAATATCAGTTCCTCTTATAGTGCACTACCCTTGACATTAATTTATACCATACATGTAATTCAAAAGCTTTGGGGAGAATGCATGGGTACAAGCTTGATCCAGCACAATGATTTCTTGAATCATTCGGGTGAACAAAGCATCTTATGATATTAGACATCAATCAGTTGCCTTGATCACCATCGTCCCATCATAGCTAACATGTGTCCACCCTAATGATCCAAGAAATCTGAGTGCACTGAAAATTTTGAAAACACAACTTTTGTTTTAGGGGCTATGGTGAAAGTGACAGTCCCAAAGGGCGAGAACACTACAAGACGTCATTATTGGTTAACGATATTAAAGAAATTGTAAGTGCACTTACATGTATTACTGAAACAGCAGATTGAATGAAGAATTTAAATACAAAACTTTTGAGGTTATATATCAAGCATGAGAAGTAGTGTTTCATCACCACAGGAAACATTGACAAGAGAGTTGAAAATACAATGCGCAGCGGAGTATTTTTGACGAACTTCGAGGTGTTTCAGCTGGTGATGAAACACTGTCGAATGCTTGATATATTATTTACTTCTCAAACAAAATGATTTTAGAAGGAGAAATAAATTAAGGATGCAAAAATGAGCAGTTTTTTGTCTGATTTCCAAACTGCCATTAAACTTAAATGTCCTTTGTATTTTCTTTATGAATTTTTGATGAGTTTGAGAAGGTTGGATGACAATTTGTCTATAATAAACAAATAATTTTGTGGATTCAAAGTCTTTTAATAAAAATAAATGCTTTAGAAAAATTAGGAATCAAAAATAAAAAAGAATAGAAAAAATATTAAATATAAAAGATAAGAATAATGAAAATATTATTTTCCTTGGCTGTCTGTACAGCTTTGAGTACATTAATTGTCTAATTCTATTTAATGACAATCATTATGCCAATTTCATAATAATTTATTATAACGTATTATTATTATTGCATTAACTGCATTATTAAAAAAATAAATGCTGGGGAGATAATCATCATAATTTTTTGCACAGCAGCGGGTTAAAAGAAATTTTTTTTTTCAATTATTTCATAGCAGCACCCTTTATATTTAGAGGACGCAAGCTCTTAAAAGACTAACGTTTTTTTAAAATTTCTTCACAGATTGAGGCACTTGGATACACGTCTTGCACTTTGTTGAGTCATGACTGGGGTGGAGCCTTGGCGTGGTAAGGCGGCCAGTGCACCATAATAATCCTTTAACTCTCAAGATGTGATCAACATCAATTTTCTGATGTGAAGATACATTAGACATGACTAGAACAGCAAGAGCAAACTGATGTTAGAGTTCAACGCTAATATTAATAATATTTTATTTGTTGTTGTAAAATTAAGTGTACTGTGAGCAGCCCATAAGAAGAAGGCAGGTAGAGAAGGTGAACCTTTCTATTTGCATCACTGTATGCTTCCCTCTGGCCGTATTTATTCTCTGCAGCCCTGCAAAGTGTTAACGCTAATGAGCACCTGTGCCATCTTATAGGAGAAACCCTGGTAGCAAAGGTTTTTTGCGGCAGTGGGTTTGTTTAGTCAGGGGGTATCTACTTTGATAAATCTTTTTCTCTTTGTTTTAAATTCAGGACGTTTGCCCACATGCATCCAGAGTTTGTAGACAAATTGATAGCTTGCAACATACCACACCCTAGGTTAGTACCAGCTAGCACTTATTAGGCTGACTTATCAACAGAACCGGAAAGTCGGTTGACGACGGTGCGCGTACGTACGAACCAAAATTTTTTCGATGTATATAGATAACCACAGTTTCTTTCCCATGGTGCTTTGCTGTATGCATGAGGGCTCTGCTCTAAAGTTTACTACTATATACTGTGTCGCCTGTGTCACTAATTCTTAAACCGTAAAAATTTGGAATACCAACATGTGCCTATCGCGGTACGTGTACGATGTATGGGCTCAATCCCGTTTATCTGAAGAAAACCTTTGCCAGGTAGTAGAATCAACCTCCCAAAAAAAAGCTTTAGCTTTATTATTATGAGAAAAAGGTTGAACCAGGTTGGCCAATAGCGCTGGTGCATACTCTTATTGCCCAAATAGGCGCTAGACAAGCGGAATCGTTTACATGGAAAAAATTTGCCCTGGCCAGGAGGTTAACCCTACCATCACAAAACGGTGACCTAGTTCAAGGCGGGTAAACCTTCCAGCTTTAGCCTGTACACAGACGTTTTATTTTTCTCGTCGTTGTCGATAAACCCTCTGCGGTTTCTGTCATTTATCACGCGCGCTCGACGGACTTTAAAAAGAAAATAGAGGCCTGTGAACAGGCTATTCTAGCTTAGCCAACTTTTTGCGTCTCGTGTAAACACTGTAAACGGTTCGTCATGTCTTGCAAGGAAATGTATGAGAAGTTGGCTCGCTCAGGGTAGCTTGGATAGGGGTGGGTAGGGGGGGGACGGAGGCGGGGGCGGCGGTGACCCTTCTATCCGGGGAAACTTTGTACTATTCTAGCTTACAGTGTAAACGGCTCGCCACGTTTTGTAAGGAAATGTATAAGAAGTTGGCTCGCTCAGAGTAGCTCGTGTAGGCGTGTGACCCTTCAACCCGGATAAACTTTTCTCCATGTAAGCAGGGCCTAATGCATATCTGTTTCTCTCCATCAGATGCTTTTTCCAGCCGTCCAAACCACAGTTCTTTCGCACTTGGGTAAGAGTAACTTTGGTCAGTGGTACCTGTATACACTGTAATATCGCGCGCTGAGTAAATTTTACGAGTCCCCATTCCAAATCACTTAGGAAAATTCCTTCAGTGGAAAATTAGCCGGCGGGCGCTGGCTCGCCCGAATTTTCCCTTGCTGCCTTGAAAATTTTGTTGAGAAAAGATCAGAGCAATTTTTCCTATAGTGATGATTATTTAGTAATTCTCCTAACCTTTCTACTTGATTATGTATTGACATGGTTACTAAGGAGAAAATTGACGTTGATCACTTTTGGGACTTTATAAAGGGTTGAGACGAGTTATAATTCTTGTTTTTCAGTACTTCTGTTACATTCAATTGCCATACCTTCCAGAGTTCGAGACGGAGGTGAATGACTACAGGATTTTAAGCACGGCTTTTAAGGTACTGTGCTGTGCAAATATTTGGGACCACAGTCAACCTTGGACACCATACATGTAGCGAAAACGGCTCTTTATAAAGTACAGTCATGTTGTTTTTAGTCTGAAATGTCGTGCGTCTCCACCCCCTAACCCTTGGGCTCCGTGAAACGTCGCATTGGAATTAAGGAAGTTTCACTCTTTTACTGACAGCATTAAAAGTGTGTTGCATGTCCAAAGTTGCGTCGTCCGACCTCAAAGCAACCATTGAGAGCGCGCACTGTTGGAAAGAAACTGCCAGCTATATAGCAATGTTTACGCCTCTTGCGTGTTCAACTTGTTACCGAACTAACTGTAGTGAAGTTGAGGTAACAGTTGCAGAACTGAGAAGACCTGAACGAATTCTACTTTTTCGGCACGCATCGCAGCGCCTTTGTTTGTTTGATGTTCTTGTTTTCGCCGCCGTGCTTTATCATAGGAATCGTAGTTAACTTGGTTAGATTGAGAGCTACATGTAACAAACTGTCACATTTGTTCCTTTGCTTTTACAAGGACGTGGGTTTCGCAGATGAAGAGGTGGAAGCTTATAAGTACGCTTTGAGTCAGAACGGTCTCAGTGGTCCTTTGAACTATTACAGGAATGCAGTGTTACCTGATGCACCTTGGGGACTGTTAAACACCAAGATAAAGGCCCCAACTCTTGTTGTATGGGTATGTAGATAAAGCCTACATGTAGCTGCACCCCTCCCTCCCGAAACTACACGTACAGGCTAGAGTAGATAGTTCTCTTCTTCCCATGAGCCTCGTTGCTGCCTTTGCCTTAAGGATGCTGGGAAGCAATCTCTTTCCCAGGGTGTCTCGTCTTTCTGGGAACGAGACTTGCTGGGAAGAGGGGACAAAAGAAAGCGCGCTGGGGACAATGGGAAGGGAAAAATCTAGAAACTATATTCAATTTCCCATCGAGAGCAATCGAAAGCTGAAGATTTTAAAATTCAGTTAGTTTTTATCCTTCTTGGTAATATTACGGGGATTAACGAGTTTTTTTGTGAAAATTATTTTTAGGGCACGGCGGATACGTTTATCACTCTTGATACCTTGGAAGGAACAGAGGAATATGTTGAAGATCTGACAATCAAGTAAGGAAATCACTGTATTTTGTCTCTTACAAATGTTCCGTTGAAAGTAAGTGTTGACTGATGACCTGATGCACCGACCGATGGTTTCAGGTAGCTTATAACATTGTTGCGACATCGTTTCGAAAGGCTGCAGCATTGTCCCGACATTTGAACCCTGTGTTGTGCTAAAACTCGTCTTTGCAAATTGTCTCGTGTGACATCACCTTTAAAGATGTCACAACGTCAAAAAAGCAATAGGTTGAAGGGGCAAAACAACAACTCTACACTTGCAGCATGCTTTTTTTTACATTTCTTTGTCATCGCTGCACGACTACGACGTAAAAATGCCTAGTTTCACTTTTTTCGGAGGGCTTAAACGAGCGACGACGAATTTTCCTTCTCTTTCTGAACTTGGATATGAATGTAAGGAGTTCGACTTCAGAATAGTTCGCTTGCATTTGGTAAAGTTAGCAAAATGGAATCTATCGCGATAGAGTTTGAAACAATAGAAATTCACTTTATAAGCGACTTTCAGTTCGCGGACGTCGCCGTCGTGGTGTCTTAAACTCCCTACTGCCGGATCTGACGGATAGGCTGACTGGTAGTGTGACCATACATTCCTTGTGGTTTGTCACGCAATTTCCTATTCACTTAAGTCTATCCTTCCCAACGAACGTTTGTAGGGGAAGAGAGGTCGCATGACGAGACAAAAAACTGATTGACTTTACTGACCGACTAATCAACAGGTCAAGCCAACTGTAACCTTATTGACCACCAACTGGCTGACTGAACTTAAATCAAGCCTTTTTGAGAAATTTTGTTGTTAAATAGTACCATGGACAGTGACGTTTTAGCCAATGAATTCTATGACATTAATGACATTGATTTGTTGTGTTAATCTGGTGTAATGTTTTAAGGATCATTTGACCACCTACCTCTACCCTAAGTTACAATTTTGCCGTAAGTGAGAAGTAAGTGTTAATGTTGATTTAGGGGAGGGGTAGGTGGGCAGTTACCCAGAAACCTTAATTGAATATATATTATCTTTAACAGGTATGTCGATGGAGCAAGTCACTGGGTGCAGGTGCATAAACCGGAAGTTGTGAATCAACACATCCGGGACTTTTTAGCTGTTCAACGCAACTAAAGTCGCCAGTGAGGAGCTTAATCAACGTTGACGGCGACGGCAACGAGAGCGGCCAGAAAGCAGTAGGTTTAGGCTACGTCATCAAATTTCTCCTTGTAATATCAATGCTTTGTAAAACAGAGTGGTCATGAGAATTACGGACATGATGACACAAGATGAATTTACTTGATATTTTATCAACTTCTCCCCATTACTTCTGTAGCAAATAAATAGGGGCAACAACAAATGAGAATTCAAATTTTGATCTCAGGGTTTAAAGGGTTAACCGTACGAAAATTTAGCCTGCAAAATGTAATGTATAAAATTTTTACAGTTCCAAACTCTATTCAATGGGAAACATTACTGTTAGTTGTCTATTTGCTTTATTTTAGCTTGTAAGGTAATAACGTAATGTAATTACATTAATCAGGTCAGTTGGAGCTTCTTTTCTCGATTTTCCCCGTAGACGCTTTACGCTTACGACGACGTTCTGATGGGGTCACTCCATCTTCTGTGCTATGGGCATTCAGGTTCTGAGTGCTTTCTTTAAGAGTCATATAAATCTTGTAGTAGAAATAAAACATTGCAATAGTGGTTACCATGAACAGTCCTGTGAAAGGTATGGTATATGAAATATACTGAATTTTATAAGTAATAGTACAGAAAGCTCTCAGGATTAAAAGGGTTAACCGTACGAAAATTTAGCCTGCAAAATGTAATATATCGAAATATATAAAGTTTCTACAGTTCCAAGCTCTATTCAATGGGAAACATTACTGTTAGTTGTCTATTTGCTTTATTTTAGCTTGCAAGGTAATAACGTAATGTAATTACATTAATCATGTCAGTTGGAGCTTCTTTTCTCGATTTTCCCCTTAGACGCTTACGCTTACGAGATAGTTGACTGTAATAAGGACTGATGAATATTTTTTTCGTAATACATATATGCAGGGTTCTGTCCCAGGATTTATCGTTTGGGGGAGAAGCCCCGAGTGACCGTGACACTGACCTCGTCGCGTTTGGATAACAGTTCTCCGATATAGTTCCTTATATACTGTAATGATAACAATATCTTTGTTTTTTTTGTTTTTTTTTTTGGGGGGGGGGGGAACTTCTACCCCTCAAATACCCTAGATCATGGCTCTTGCCTAGATATAACCCTGATATGTACCCGTATTCTTGAAACCTATTACCAAACGTATGTTTAGTCGTATAGCTAACAGAGCCTCTTGAAATAAATGTTTTCACTCCAGAAGTAGTTTTTCCGTCCCTTCATAACTTTCAAAACCATTTTTATCGTATCTTTTAAGACTTTTTAAACGCTCTCTCGGTATCAAGGTAAAGACTCATTTTGAAAAGGGTAAAAGAAAATTGTCGCGTAGAAGTTGACGCGTACTGCTTTGAGCCTTCAGTGCGCGCCATGACAAGCGAATTTAAAATTAACTGCACGTTGAATTTGATATTAAAAAAGAAAAACAAACACAAAAAAACAACAACAAATTAGTTGGTTAAACTGTGCGTATAAGCACGTTTTGTTAGAGAAAACTTCACGGCTCTATCAAATTCGTTATTTAACACGTCGAAACACGACTGCCATTTTGAGGATTTATTTCAAGCATGCGCCCTTTCATCGCCTGTCACATTCCTGACAGGCGAAGCTTCGTCGACAAGAGATCTGGGTACAAGATTAGGATCAAAGGGAAGGAACCATAAACGGAAATTTGGCAAACCAGTGAATAATATGGTCAATGGATCTAATGCTGATTTAACACCCTTCAGTCCAGCCTCGTTTCCAGTCGTCCTCGACGATTTCGTATGTGACGTCACCTCAAACTTGTCGGGAAAATGGTTCCAAGCCTACTCTGCTTGCTAGGACAGCGCGAATGGCCTGGGTAGTAAGCTGCCTGTTTATGTCTACAATCAGATGAAAATATGCGATGCGTTAACTAGTTTGAAAATTGCTCGCTATTTTTATCCTTTTCACTGGAGTACTAACTAAGAATTTTAAGGAGCTTGATCCAAGTAGCCTGCGTTGCAACCGGCTTACGCACTCGTCTAAACCATTTGTGTAATCTCTACAGAGGGTTTAGAGCGTCTGCGACGAAGGCAAGGTTCAACAGACTGGATTTATACGAGTCAGAAAAAGGATAACCGGAAACGAGTTCAATGGAAATTGAAATCCTATGTTCCCAGCCTCAATTGTATTCCCATTGTTTGCCTTAAATCCTTGGTACTACCATATATAAAGTAGGACAACCCAGTTTTCATTTTATATCTAAAAAAGTCTGCCCTGGTCAGCCTTATTTTGATGTAATTTTTTTAAAATGAGTTTATGCTAAATTCATAAATCACCTATCGTCTGGTATCTCATCGATGCTAAAAGCTCGTCATAACCTTTAATTTCTTCTCCTTCTGTGAGAAGGTTTGAGGTTATCGTCACAAAAATGTTTTTGGATTTTGTTTAAAAACACCTTTGAGGCACCTTGGAAATGACTTATGCTCCAAAAAGAACAATGTAAATACCAGAATTTTTACGTTATTCTACACAATCCTTCCTAGAACTACAGCTCGTATCAGCAGGCTGCAAACAGACGTTTTCCATCTAAAATTGAATTTGTGCATGCCGGGATTATCAGGACCTTCGCCCTCATTAATTTACACGCTTGTCATTGACCAGTTCCTTGTTTATAGAAACAAAACTTTATTCGCGCGTCCTTAACCTTTTTATGTCACTAATAAATCATCTGTCAACGTTACAAAACCAACCGTCCGTTTTTTCAGTAAGCCAATGAGAACGGAAAAATTCTAACCGTTTTACGGAATGGGACTGTTTATGTTTAGTTTAAATTAGACCAATCACATCCTATAGATGGAAGCAAGTTAATCGTATAAAAGCACATATGTCAGTCAGTGGTTTGCATTTCTAGACACGCCATTCTAGTAGAGAGAAGTACGAAACCTCAGTCGACGCAAAGAAGTTTTTAAAAACTTTTCATGGCGATGAAGACGCTGGAGCTTTTACTCTTTGCTCTTGCTGTTCTGACGTATGTACACAGTTACAACATGGATAGGAGTGTCCGTGAAATCGAGGAGGTTTTTCGTCGGCGGTTACCCGCGCGCCCTCTTGAGGTCAGAAAAACGGATAAACGAGGTAAGTCTGCAAGGTTCTTTTTTGTCGGCACCTGAACGCAAAAATTTATAGAAAAAGTAAATATCTTGCCTAGGTTTCAAGAAATTTCATACATGATTTAAAGCACGTGGGCGCCAACAACCGGTCATGAGTGTGCACAAATTTGAGATGTCACTTGTTTTTGAAGTGAGGGAATTAAGGTCTTTCCTAGCACTTTCATGGGATCAATCGTTTGAATGGTTGAAGTTGAAGTGATATTTGCGCTATGTTTCTCTCTCCCTCTCCCTCTCTTTTTACTGTTTACACGTTTCTGCTTTAAATTCCGTCTAAACAGTTTTATAACGTAAAGTACTGCAAGCCACTTCAGGGATGTAGAGATTAATTATGAAAGTTTGCGGATTAAGCCCAACGGATTTTAAACCAGTCCAGTCTACGACCTGAGGGAAGATAGTTTAAATGAAGGTTGAGAAAAATTTATACGATCCCCTAATTTCTTATATAGCGTCAATAAAATTTCAGCTATAGACAAAACTGTTTTTAACGGTCATCGTTGATAAAGACAAATAAGGTCACACACTAAACGATAAAAATGTTCAGTGACGGGTCTATTTTAATCATATGTCAACTCGTCAGTCACTTCTTGGCCACCAATGCGATTAAAATTCCCCATTCAGCTCTTCCAAAAAGCAGTGAAAAAGCGCTTCTCTGCTATCAGATCAACACCTTTAATCTTCTTTAGTCAATAGCACTTGTTTTAAAAGACGAGGGACATGGTACGTCGACCAAATCCAGAATGAAGTTACTTTTCTTTATGACTAGGATTTTATGGCTTTTTTGGAATACTGGTTTGGAATGTAACAACGGTTTCATGTTATTGCTCCATTAAAAAAAAAATTCAAGCAGACAAATGACCTTTATTGTTACTCAATTTACGAAAATGCGTTGACCAGGGGCGTTGATACATTTATATAATTAGAATCTGAAAAATTTTATTTATTTCATCGCCGTGGAGGAAGCAGGATTTTCGAAAAAAAAAAAAAAAAGCTACAAGGTTACATATCTTGTAGTACAGTCGCGTTGTGAGAAAATTAGACGAAAAATGAACATTTTACAACCCCTTCGCCCCCTCCCCCAAACAAATAAATTCGGGAGACTGAAATTTTATAAAAATAGGTAAAGATTGGAAAAAATGGCTTGTTTTGGCCCTCTTGCGGCGTTATCCTTAAATTCGGTGGAAAAGTGTGTTCTCTTCTCCAATTTATTAATCTATCCCTATCCAGCGAAATGTAAAACTTGAGTAGTTAAATCCTGGCAGTACTTTCAATTATTCCTTACATTTTCTAACCCTATATGGATTATTGTGCTGTCCGCCCAAAACTGGTATTTCAAATTATTACGGAAAATATATTTTCAAGATCATTATAAAAAGTGTTCTAGAATTATCTTCTGAAATGTCCCTTCCGCGCGTTCTTTTCTCCAGTGTTTTCGCTCGCCATTGTTGACCTTTGATGTTATCGTACAGTTAACAATAGAGGATTGTATTTTCAAACGTTTTGAATTGGGAGAGTTCTTACGTACATGAAGTCTGAATAACATCAACACCCGTAAACATAAACGATGTCTTCCATAAACAATAGGGACCTTGAGATGCAAGAACGGCGACGGCAACGAAAACGTCACTGAAAAAGGGAATTCGCGTTTTTTCAAACTTCGTTGCCATTATTCCAAATCACTTACTTTGTTAAAATGTAGAGGAACTCTCATGGAGTTGAATCCCTAAGAGCCTTATCTAAGTTAGAAAAGAAAAAGGAAATTTCGTCGTTGCTTGTTTACGTACACCTTGAAACGTGAAATTAGACATTTTCATGTCGCAGTCGTCGTAGTCGTGCGT